AGTTATGTCGTTTTTGGGGCTTGGAGATATGTCGTTTCAAAACGACATAACTCCGCCATGTCTATATACGAATACGGGGTAAGATTTGGACATGAATTTCGACTAAAAAATCGGTGTCGAGATTTGAATGCCAGATTAATCTAGAGGGAAAGCCATGAAGAAAAAGCCAAACTTCGTGAAAATCGGATGAGATTTGACCGAGTTATGTCGTTTTTGGGGCTTGGAGATATGTCGTTTCAAAACGACATAACTCCGCCATGTCTATATACGAATACGGGGTAAGATTTGGACATGAATTTCGACTAAAAAATCGGTGTCGAGATTTGAATGCCAGATTAATCTAGAGGGAAAGCCATGAAGAAAAAGCCAAACTTCGTGTAAATCGGATGAGATTTGATCGAGTTATGGGGGTGGTAATTTTTGACCCATGTCTATATACGAATACGGGGTAAGATTTGGACATGAGTTTCGACCAAAAAATCGGTGTCGAGATTTGAATGCCAGATTAATCTAGAGGTAAAACCATGAAGTAAAAGCCAAACTTCGTGAAAATCGGATGAGATTTGACCGAGTTATGTCGTTTTTGGGGCTTGGAGATATGTCGTTTCAAAACGACATAACTCCGCCGTTGATCATGGCGAGATTATGTCGTTTTGAAACGACATATACGAATCTTGGGGTAAGATTTGGACATGAATTTCGACTAAAAAATCGGTGTTCAGATTTGAATGCCAGATTAATCTAGAGGGAAAACCATCAAGAAAAAGCCAAACTTCGTGAAAATCGGATGAGATTTGGCCGAGATATGGGGGTGGTAAATTTTGACCCATGTCTATATACGAATACGGGGTAAGATTTGGACATGAATTTCGACCAAAAAATCGGTGTCGAGATTTGAATGCCAGATTAATCTAGAGGTAAAACCATGAAGTAAAAGCCAAACTTCGTGAAAATCGGATGAAATTTGACCGAGTTATGGGGGTGGTAATTTTTGACCCATGTCTATATACGAATCTTGGGGTAAGATTTGGACATGAATTTCGACCAAAAAATCGGTGTTCAGATTTGAATGCCAGATTAATCTAGAGGGAAAGCCATGAAGAAAAAGCCCAACTTCGTGTAAATCGGATGAGATTTGACCGAGTTATGGGGGTGGTAATTTTTGACCCATGTCTATATACGAATACGGGGTAAGATTTGGACATGAATTTCGACCAAAAAATCGGTGTCGAGATTTGAATGCCAGATTAATCTAGAGGTAAAACCATGAAGTAAAAGCCAAACTTCGTGAAAATCGGATGAGATTTGACCGAGTTATGTCGTTTTTGGGGCTTGGAGATATGTCGTTTCAAAACGACATAACTCCGCCGTTGATCATGGCGAGATTATGTCGTTTTGAAACGACATATACGAATCTTGGGGTAAGATTTGGACATGAATTTCGACTAAAAAATCGGTGTTCAGATTTGAATGCCAGATTAATCTAGAGGGAAAACCATGAAGAAAAAGCCAAACTTCGTGAAAATCGGATGAGATTTGGCCGAGATATGGGGGTGGTAAATTTTGACCCATGTCTATATACGAATACGGGGTAAGATTTGGACATGAATTTCGACCAAAAAATCGGTGTCGAGATTTGAATGCCAGATTAATCTAGAGGTAAAACCATGAAGTAAAAGCCAAACTTCGTGAAAATCGGATGAGATTTGACCGAGTTATGTCGTTTTTGGGGCTTGGAGATATGTCGTTTCAAAACGACATAACTCCGCCATGTCTATATACGAATACGGGGTAAGATTTGGACATGAATTTCGACTAAAAAATCGGTGTCGAGATTTGAATGCCAGATTAATCTAGAGGGAAAGCCATGAAGAAAAAGCCAAACTTCGTGTAAATCGGATGAGATTTGATCGAGTTATGGGGGTGGTAATTTTTGACCCATGTCTATATACGAATACGGGGTAAGATTTGGACATGAGTTTCGACCAAAAAATCGGTGTCGAGATTTGAATGCCAGATTAATCTAGAGGTAAAACCATGAAGTAAAAGCCAAACTTCGTGAAAATCGGATGAGATTTGACCGAGTTATGTCGTTTTTGAGGCTTGGAGATATGTCGTTTCAAAACGACATAACTCCGCCGTTGATCATGGCGAGATTATGTCGTTTTGAAGCGACATATCTCCAAGCCCCAAAAACGACATATATCCGCGCGGATATATGTCGTTTCAAAACGACATTACTCCGCCGTTGATCATGGCGAGATTATGTCGTTTTGAAACGACATATACGAATCTTGGGGTAAGATTTGGACATGAATTTCGACTAAAAATCGGTGTTCAGATTTGAATGCCAGATTAATCTAGAGGTCGATTGCGATCGATTTCATGAAGTCGAACTCTCTTTTAGTTTTCAGCTCTTATAGTTTCTGAGATCGAGCAAACAAACGGACCATTAAACCCCTCTTTAACAAGTTAAATGATAAACTCATCGTTTTTTTACCTTATATACGCAGATTAAAAACAACCATTCCTATCTCCTAAAAAAGTACAAAAAAACAACATCTTTAAAAGTATAGACTTATCTAGAAAAGGGTTAGAACTGCGTATGTAGTTCAGTTATGTTCAGCTAAGCACTATGTTCAGGATATCTCTTAGTCAGCCACGCCCGAGTGACCTTTTACTTGTATTATTATTAATTTTAGTCTCGATTAAGTTTCCAAACGTTTGTCATAACATTTGCCTTTGCGGTATTCAACGGGTTAAAGGGAGTATATTACATGAGATATGTTATTCAAGTGCACTTCTTAAGATTCTAAACATCTAGAAGAATCTATAATTTCCGAAGTGAGGAACATGAAATACCTTTGCGGCAAAGTTGAAATTAAATCAAATTACTGCTGACGATGACAATAATGAAAAAAATGACTTGTTATTGATGAAGAGAAAAATATGTTACCAACTCAGCCATGTGTACTGCCTTCTCAAATAAGACGAAAACTGTGCAAATAAAGTCTTAAAGCCAAGAGAGGAAATGCAGAGGAACAGACAAATATGACTATTGATTTATGAGGTCGAAGATATCTTGGCCAAGGCGTAGCACAATTTTGGGTATAACAAGTAAAAGTTCTCTGGATGAAAGTGCAGGAGATACCCTGTAAAAGGGTTTAACAAGCTTCAATTAAAAAGAAAACATTTTATTTAACTTTAATGTTCTGCAATGTGCCATAAACAATGTGATAAAAATGCCAAGTGGAATTTACATTTTCCCCCCTTTTTTCAATCAAGATTCCATCTTTGTTCCCAGCTTCTCGCGGCTAGTTTCAGTTTGCAGGCCAATTCCGATTGGCCGGCTTTTTACAAATGAAATTGCAGCAATTCAAACGCCTCGACATTATTGTTATGAGTGGATCAATTGTTGGCTCCGCAAATGAATTGAATTGCCCGCAGTTGAGCTCACAACCGTGTCATCTCATCTCTCCTACAGTTAAGCTGCGCATTGTGTCGGGAAACACTTATGCGATGTTCTTAAAAAAATTTGCATATGTCATGGCCGCATTTGAATGCACAGTTTTTAACATATGTGCATTTGGTTTTATTATGAAAAGCTGCTGAAAGTCTCCATAGAACAATTGGGCTGAGCTCTTGATGCTCATTTACATTTGCGCCCGACAACGTCCGGCATAATCAAATGGAAATTCGCTTTGGTTAATAACATGGCAATGCATACTAATTGATCAATTCAATATTAATTGGTTCACTTTAATTGCATTATGCAATTTGTACACTCCGTTGCAATAGAGCGCTTTTACAATTCAATCGAGTCTACAGCAACGTATTTGTGATTCACTGCAACTGATGACATTTCCATTATTGAGTCTCTCGGGAGACGGTTTCGGGTGGGGCTCGCCGGTGCTCTTTTGTGCCACTGTGCGCATTGTTTTGATACAGTTTCGAAATTCGTAATGGACTGCCAAAAAATAACAAAATGTCAACATACTAAATGGCACATCTGTCGAGTGTGTGCGCGTGTGTAAACATTCGCTACTATCTAATGGTTGTGGAAATGTCAAAACTCACTAGGAGCACACACATACTGAGACAAACGAATCTGTCACGCACGTATCTAAACACATGTGTGTGTGTGTGTGTGTGGGTGTGAGCTTGTGTCCTTGTCTGCTGCGGCAATAGTATTTGTTGTATTGTGTGTTTTGCAGTCTACCGTAGAAGTAATATTAATTGCGTCGAAATTAATTAGACGCCTCGTTGCCTTTAGCTGAACATAACAAATTCAACCTGCGCAAATAAATAATAAGAAATATTTATTAGGAAGAGGAGCTGCCGAGAAATACTCTTTCTCTATATATATATATATGATGTATCTATCGAACATATATTTTAAGAGCAGAGTCGATACTTTATGCAGATTATACTAATGCCTAGTTGGCTCTCTGACTCTCTGCTTGGACTGACTGACTGAATGTTCTATACATAAGTCATATATCTGTCATATATTTAATGAGCAGAGTCGATACTTTAAGCTGGCAATAGAAATGCAGAAATGCAAACTAATGCATACTTGACTCTCTGACGGACTGACTGACTGACTGACCGACTGAGCTGCTGGCAAAGCAATTGTTTGTGTATGGCATCTGCATTCATTGTGCGCGTTTGTTATTGTGCACGAAAAGCTATTTGCACAAACAATTCAGAGAAACAAAAAAACAAGTGGCCTTTGTTTTGAAATTGCGAGTCCTGGCTGCGCTGCACCGATTTCGAAAGAATAATGCGCTTTTGTAGCTCGGGTTGCGATGACAACTGTCAAGTCCTGCCAGACGCCAAACTTGGTCAACAGCGGCGAGGTTAAATGTTGTTGCCTGACAGCAACTTGTTGCTGTCACTGCAAAGCACTTTGGCTTAATTAATAACAATTGTTCGCACAGTCTTGACGCTAATGTCAGTCGAGAGCAGGATCCGTTGTCAGCGTCAAAGGTCTGTCAGCCTTTTAGACAAGTTTCATATTTATTTATTTCCATTTTTTTGCCGCAATTTGCGTGGCGTTTCAAGCATTTGAGTATTTCTTATGCCCATGCTATTACAGTTAAGTGGTTTTCATTTTCACACGAAATTTTCCAGTTTACAATTTCCCAGCCTTGCCGCCCAACGGCAGCTAAATGTGTGCTTCTGATTGTTGTTGGGGCTTATCGCTAACCGCCCATTGCTGTTGCTTTAATTCTAATGCCATATGCCAGCTGAAGCTTCACGTACTCCTGACAGCTTTACCTGGCATGTGGTTACAGCTTCCCTGCACGGCTCCGCTTCGACGCCCCCAGCTGGCTTGACTTCCTCATTTTTGGCATGGTGATGGGCGGCATATTTCTCTTCATCTGGGGAACAGCATGAAATCTGCATGTCACAACAATTTGATATTATGTAATACGTGTTTGTTACGCCGCACAGTGGGCCGTTATCTGGAAACCTATTGCAAAAATCGACGTTTGAGTTGAGTTTGTAAACCAAAGTATACATACATCGATAAGGGTAGTCCCAAAGGATCAGACAAATCTTTATTTGATAACTTGGTTTTGTTGTTTTGTCTTTATAGTTAGTCAACTTTTTCAAGGAAGTGCTTTTTTTTTTGGTTTTTTGAGTAAAAAGTTTGGGAAAGTATTGAGATTGGTTGTTTTTTTTTATACGCCTTAATTCCTAAGCTAACCACAATCAAGTATTTGTTAATATCATTGATATCAGTTAGGTCCTAAATTTTAAATTGTTTTGGATATACTCCGCATTGCTCCACTTAAAATCTTTAAAAATATTTGCAACATATATATTTCGAAATTTTATTGAAAAGGGTTGGGTTTCCACTTCAAATGCTAATTATTCTAAATTATCGTAATAAATTGTTGACTAAGTTGCCTTTTAAAAGCAGATCCTGTTGACCTTTAAAAATGACTAAGCCCTCACTTTAAAGTTGCATAAATTCTCTTTCATGTGTTTTTTATTATTCGATTTTCTCATTTTGTTCAAATGTTATGAATTTTGTAATGCATTTTGGAAAAATGTTTCACTGTGCTCTGGAGATATTTTCAAGATTGATGCCAGAACATGCTTACTTAATTTATGGAAAAATACGAATTTTTTATTGCACTTTAGTTAATTTGCGCCATTTTCTACCTTTCCCCAGCCGGAGCAAGTCCAGGCCGAGTACAAGGTTCTGGCGCTTCAGTATCATCCGGACAAGAACTGCGGCGACAAGGAGGCGGAGGCCAAGTTCCAGCTACTAAAGGTAAGCAGCAACAATGAAAATTTGCCCAGCAACGAAAAGGCAAATGTTGAGCATTTTACATATTTAATAAAGTGCCGCCAGGCGGGTTCTCAAGTCGAGGACGAGGGGAGGCACCGTACTTGTCCGCCCCGAGGGTAATTTGTTTAAGTTGAAAGCGTGGACTCGTGTTTGCATTTGGAGGGCTCGGGCTGCTCATATAAATTATAAGAAAAACACACAGTTGGCGTAATCAAAAACTACACACACACACACATACACACACACACGCACACATGAGCAAGAGAAATGTGTGTGGTGCATGCAATATGGTTGCCTGTCAGTTGGCAAAACTTTTAAGTCACATGAAACAAAGCACTAGCAAGAACACACATACACGTACACACATACATGCGCCCACACACAAGCCACACACACATAATTGAATAGCTAGCCAGAAACACACTCATTTACACTCAACCTCAAATTGAATTTTACACATAACAAAAAGCTTCAGAGATCGCGAGCACTTAACAAGTAGATAGCAAAATTACAAAAATATACCCTACACATGTATGCATAGAGCACATATTTTGAAAAGGACTATTGATTTTCCGCTGTGTCAGGGCACCAAAAGCATAGCATCATAAATATACATTTACATATACCTTTATATATATATAACATACACATGCATATACATATACTATATATGAACATGTTAATATGTTTGCACGTGGCTATTGTTAGCCGACTTTGGCGAAGGGGAACCACATCAACTTTGCCAAACGGTTGCCGTTCGCTCGTCCTTGTTCTGTCGCTCCTCATTAGAGTCCTGCCAGCTACAGCGACAATAAAACTTGTGTTTGGGCAATAGCGACGGCAACAAGTGTTGCGGAAGTCTTCTTCTATTCATTTTAGTTGTGGAACTGGGCTCAGAGCTTGAATTTGCCATAAAAAAACAAAAGAAGCAAATAAAATTTTCAGCTACTAAAGGTCTCTCCCTGTGTATGTGTGTGTGTGTGAATGTGCGTGTACGTGCCTGTGCCCGCGTGTGTTTGCTGCCAGTTAGGTCGGGAGCCTTTTTTATGGTCGCTTTAGCGTCAAAGCCATAAAACAAACGCTGAAGGCGGCTATAAAGCATTCCAAGTGAAATGTTGAGATTTCAATAAGCACCAACATAATTTAAATCTGCTCAAAAAACTTTTTTTAAGCAATTTTAAGAGCATAAGCAACATGTGTAGCCTTAAAGTTTTTCAAAGTAGCTCAAAATAATAAGAAAGAGACACATTTATTATATTTTCTTTGCACTTCAGCAATATTCAAGTAGTTTTTTACTGGAAATATGCAAATTGCTTCAGGCCAAAAGCTGCATAAATTAACGAGCTCAATAAAATGTGCACTGATATTATATTATGCATTAAACCGATATATCTGCAATAGATAACATAATAATCTTATCAATCCTCCACAGTACAAACAAAAGTATTACGTAAAATGTATATTTCTATAAAATTCTGCTGGATTACATTCTTACATATGAATCTGCTTGCCTACGTGCATATTTAACTTTTTATGCGCGTTCAACACTCGAACACTCGTGCGTGCCCGAATAAGATATATCTCGAGCCCGAATAAGATATATCTCGAGACCAGAATCTTTCTATAATTACAAGCATTCTATTTTCATTATATACATACACAAAGACGCACACACACACATAGACACACACACACACACACACAAGGAGGCACGCAGCGCGATGTGGCTGTGCTTCTTCTCCCCCAACTTCCAAGCTATGATTCTTGATTAACTTGATGTTATGATTTTTATGACCTAAATATTGGATGCTTATACCAAAATTCAAAGCTATACCCCAATTATTTTTATTCTCAAATGTGCGGAGAACGGGGAAATGTATCCTAAATGTGAAATAATATTAATGTGCAATACAATATGAGATAGCATCAATTATATCAGTAATATTTATAATACTTATATCTTCGAGAAATGGTCAAATACGCAATTTTTCCGACATAAACGCCTGTCAAAAGTTACCTTCACTATGAGCTTCTTGAACTTTAAGAAACAAATTTATTGTAAATCAGATCAATTTGCTGTCATTTAGGGCGGGTTCCAATTTTTTGGAAAGAGTTCCCACATAAAACTTTTCTTAACTTAGAGATAAAATTAACCGGAAGTTTAAAAAAATTCTAGCAGCAATTTGTATTCATTTTGTGGCAATCTTATAAGTTTTACAGAAATTTGTTTTTTGTTTTTAGTTTCCCTCGAGAAAGCCGCGCTTACTCTTTCTGAAACTCCGTGCACATGCAATTTATATTATTTTGTCTTGTCACTAAGAGATCTTTATTAAAGTAATTTTGTCAGCGGGTGACATTGTAATTCATGACAACATTTTCGCCTTTTCAGTTCCATGCAAAATCAAATTCCTGATTGGCAATAACAAACATAGCCAAAGGGCAAAAATAATTGAAGCAGGCAGCTAGCAGATAATAGGAATATTCTGAAACGTTGCCTGCTGACCCACATAATCAATGAGTAGTAAAATAATTGATTATCGTGTAAGAATCGCAACAATAAAATCTCACTAGCACAGACTGGATGTGTGTGTGTGTGTGTGTCTGTAGGCTTGTCTGCGGCCTTTGTGTATCTAACAAACGTGCCAACAGGCTGCTTTGGCATAAAAGTTGTAGATGTCTAATAATGTGTGTGTATTGGTATCATGACCAGATACGCTATCAAAGCCACTTGAGCGTGTAAACGTATTTGTTCACTTGAGTGTTCGTGTGTGCGTGTGTGTGTTAATCACAGTCATGCCAATAAGTATGCTATGTAAATTGATTATTATGCAAGCAAAAGGCAAAGGCTAAAATAGTAGCTGAAGACAACAACTCAAGGTTTTACTGGTATTTGTTTTGGGCTTCGTCGAATTTGACTTCAATCGACCTACATAAATAAACATTCAAGTATTTTTTTTTGTTACTTTTCTGTTACAGGAGGCCAAGGAGACCCTTTGCGATCCGGAGAAGCGCGCCGTGTACGACAAGTGGCGCAACAGCGGCATCTCAATGAGCTACAAACAGTGGCTCGGCATGAAGGAGCACGTCGGCCAGGTGAGAAGATACACAATTGCCGAGAAAGTGGATAAAGAGGTATGCGTATGAGCCAGGAATACAGCGAAACAGAGAAGTAGCCGCCAAACCCCAAAAGACTTTAGAAAACTGAGCAACTGTGGGTTTTCGTGTGCCGTTTGTGTAAATGCTTATACCCTGTACACATGGAATTTGACAATGTGGGCTTATTACAGCTGTTGAAAGTGCATCCACAGCCAACTTGTCTCTGTCCGTGCCTGTTAGTCTTTTTAAGCGAGTTTATCGCCAAGACAATAAGTATCAAGTATTTTTAGCAAATTTTATAAAAGATGCTTTTAAGAAGACAATACTCTTACATTTTAAAGCAACAACACTATAATTTATAAATAAATAAACATTCAAGTATCAATATTGTGTTAGCTAACAGAAAGTAAGAAGTTGAGCTACTTTCTATAGTTTTGCAACAGGGTATTCTCTACAGAGTTGACATACTACTTATGTATCTGCTCTTCCAGATATAAGACATCCATTTTAATTTGTTTGTGTACTAATTTTTTTTGCTCAGTTTATGGTAGTTGTAACCTGATATCCGATTGCATTTGCATTGACATTGTTACAAATTTAATGTGATTAATCGTCGCAGTGAATCAACGCTCGAAGCTAATTTCCGTAGGATATTTTCGGTCATCCATCAATGTTGACAGCCTGTCTGGCTAATTTGCTGCGGTAAGTTTTTGGTCCGGTCATAAATTTGCTTTTGGCAGTCGAGTGGGCCAACAATTTGCACTGGTTGCATTTTGGCTTTAGCGGTTGCAGGCAATTTGGGCACGTGCTGCCAATTTCATATTTCGTTTTAAGGCCACACGCACTTTTCTGGCCAGTGCGGTTAGGCTCTTATTTGGTAGGAACATTTTGATTAATGCGTTTGCTAATGGTAAACGGCACACAGGAAAACCAGATCTCAGCCCTAATAAAACTGCAAATGTGTCTTTAATTTAACTAGCAACAAACTTTGATTTAAGCTCCCAGTCTAAAGCCTGACACTGGTCGTCCGAATTCCTACAGTATTTACGTATTTTATGGTATTTTTTGAATGTGCCTCTTCATCCAAAGTATTCTAAGTGTACGCCGTGCATGCAAATGAGGAGCTAATGCATCTGAGTTTCTATTTCGTGCACAAATGCAAATCCAGCCTAATGTAAATACACGCACACATCAAATGCATTGGCTCTGAGAGTAGTTGCGTTATCCAGTTACAAAAGACAGTTCAATTAATGGCCTAATTGTTTTCCACTCTATCAAAGTCCATGCATTGGGCCACACCTAAGACCAAGGACCGCATGCTACCGGAGACTGAAGCTGGAGCTGCTCCGGCTGGCGCTGGTTGCAGCGGCGGCCTTACAGCCGCCTCCCCGAATCCGGCCCATCGACGGGCCTCGGAGGGCGGAGCCGCACTCTACTACGGCAGCCGCAAGGCCGAGTGGGGTACTGAGAACACAGATGTGGCCAATAAGTTCCGTAATTACGAGATCTAAGCGGCATTTCAGCAATGCTAAAAAAGTGTGCGGTGCCCGTGATGAGTATCGATGTTATGAGATAAAATAGAAGCGAGTCGTAAAGTAAATTTTATGCATATTTATAGCCCATCGAAGGGCAGTATATCTCGATGTGAGTTTCAAGAATACATATTCCAATTAAAATATTAAATATTAAAAATACCAAACAAAACAAATACATTTAAAATACATATATATCATATATATCAAAGCAGCATTGAAAAGCTAAATTACACAATATGCAAAATATTAATCAATTCTATAGAAATACTACTACATATATATTTATAAAGGAAATACAACTCCACAGAGTACATATATATATATTGATGTGAACTTATAGCGTTGCGAATTATATAAATGTTTATAGGTGTATACAAAAAAATTGGTAATTAAATATTGAAGAAACTGTAATTTCAATAAACATAAGGTATGCAAGCGGCAAGAGGTTTAATTTAAGTTAAAGTGCAACATTTAAATGAAATTAGTCAAATTTTAAATGTGTATATCAATGGTAAATGTCTAACTGAACTATATATACAAGCATATACTATATTATATATATTTATCTACAATATATTTATCTACAACTATTTATATATCGATGTATGTAACATGTGCCCCCTATAAGACAATCCCCTTGGAAGTGTTTACTTGTGCACTAGAAAAAAACATTGATAATTCAAGCTGAAACTAGCATCAAAATGCCCACCACAAAGAACGTTGCATATGCGATAAGCAAAAAACACATATATGACCTAACACAAAAGCGAATTTATCAACTATATACAAGAGTAAAACTGCATAGTCAAAAAACTACAAGAAAAATAACTTTCACTTGGTGTCCTTTCAAATGCAAAACTCAAATTTGCAAACAAAACTAAGCAACTAGACTATTTTATTTATGAAGAAAAAAGAGACGGCCACTTACAGGCTTGAAGAAAATGACAAAAAAAATTATATAAAAATATAAAATATATAAAAAAATGATAAATGTTTTGATGCGTTGTTGTTTTCAATATCGATGTGTGATGCAAATCTTAATGTTATACAAATGAATATCAAAAGAAATATGAGCGAAAATTAATTTATGCCAACATAAAGGTACATTATATAAATGTTTGTTTTAAGTCATATTGAATTTACTCAAATACACACATATTATTGAACTATACAAATACACACACATATATATGAAAACATATATATTAATTGAAATCAAAGCACTAGCAAAGTTTTGTCAGTTTGTAACTGAAACAGATTTTAAAACAGACACTTGCAGCTGCAAGCCAAAGGCAATTATTTTTGTTGGCGCACGTGGCGTATGGAAGGCGTAAGTCGAAGTAATTAACTAGCAATTATGCAAATACATATTAATGTTGAATTGAATGTAATTGAATTATGAATGTATAAGTGGCAAAAAAAACCAAATAAAATCAGCTGAAGAATCTTCAGCGATTGAACAAAGTTTATTTTACTTATTCAGACCGTTGGCTAAGTTATAGATAATTCACTCGACTTGGCTCTCACTTAGCTCTAAAAGTTGACTTAGCATGACCTGTGAGTCATCCCACAAGTGACAGGGCCGGCGATCTGACTGCACGAACTCACGTATCCAGCGATTGAGCACTATATGAAAATAGGGTTTGCTTGTAATATTAATAGAGTTTGAATTGTTCACACGACTTGCAGCTTACCCCACTTGGAGCCGACAATAATGGGGCAGGCGCCATGCATGGTCCGCACATCGCCTGCGCCCGAGGCATGCAGGTTGTACCAAAATGCGGCTAAAATTAGCAAAACAAAATATTACCAAGGGGAGTTAAGGGCTGGGGCTGTGCTAGAGATGCGTTACGTTACACGGCGTGGCACGAGCACGAATCAGAAATAGTCTCTACAACAATTTGTGGCAAGACTAGAATATACAAAATGGTTAATGTACCAAAATTTAGATATCTTATTAATATTTTCTCATTATTCGTTGGATGAATCCCTAGCTTGTGTCCGAATGCTATCTAAAATTGTTATTTGTATGTCTTGCCGCTATAGCCTATACCAATAATAATTATCCTAATATTATTTACGCATTTACAAAATTAGTTTTGCAACTATAGCCCATAATAACCTATAATTATTCAAATATTATTTACACATTTACTAAAATAGTCTGCTCCCTATGCTTATTGCATCGTGTTGGAGTTGTTGAGTTAGTTCGTCGTACGCATAACAATGGGACAACCCACGCGTGCCGTAACAGAACCCATTACACAAGCCACAGTTGAGTCCGTGCTGCACGTACCCGCATATTTCTTGGGCTTCAGTAATTGCTTTAGGACGGGAAATGCGGTGCCACCACCCTGTTCCACATCGGTGAGCTGTATGGTAACATAATAAATGTATTTGCGTGGGTTGACTTGGCACAGAACACAAAAGGACTCACATAGAACAAAACGGTGGCAATGCGATTGCCCATTTCAGAGTTGGCAACCTGTTTGGTTTCGAACTGTCAAGAGTATTATTAGATGGACTTAACTATTGACGCCAGACTCCATTGTTTACTTACGGCATTCGGGGAGAACCAGTCCATATGCTGGGCGTAGTGACCGCCTATGCCATAGTTGGCCAATTGATGATCCTCCGCAAAAACTACAATTGAATATTATTCATCTCATATGGCGATTCCTGCTTGAGTTGAAGCTTACCCATGTTCAGATCCGTCATATCTGCCACCCGTTGATCGATGGTGCGCAGCACTTTGTGCCGCGTCTTCGGGATGAAGGTGAATTGGCTGGTACGTGAGTTGGACACCACGGATGCGTTATTGCCAGTTACCGTGGCACGGTGAATTTTATTTTTAGTTAGCTTAGCTAGCGTATCGATTTCACTCTGATAGATGACGTCATGATAGAGCACAAGCAGCGGATCGTGACTCAGCTCCTCGACCTTCAGCGGAGCTAGCAGCAAAAAGGGATGCGTCTCAGTCATATAACCACAGCGCAGCTGACGCAGTTCCGCAGGCGTAGGTTTTATATAACCATTGCAGGTGTAGCGATACAGGTCGAACTCGCTTAGCTCCGTTAGATTCTCGGGCAAAGGCTGCTTGGCACAGGGAAACGCTTGGTAAATGAGTGGGCGTTACGTTTTATACTTACGGGATGCTCCTCGACTGGGTTCAGCTCGTCAAATGGCGTCTGAAAGTCTTTGTAGTTATTTATATACCTCTCACTGCCTGGCTCCAGTTCCTTAAGGCTCTGCAGAGTACCATTGACGCCACCAACATGAGTTAGTCTGGCTTTGACTTGCCCTAGTTGCCCGAAAATGAGGGGCTGCAGCCTAGCTCGATCGCTGTTTGAAAGACGGCTTTTCGCCTCCAGCAGCCAGGCGTGTGCCAGCTGCAGATGCTCATCCCGCAGTGCCTGCTGGGCTATGTCCAGACAGTGCTGGGCGTTTAGCTGAGTACTTTAACGAACAAAACGTGAGATATGTGATGAAAGCGCTTCTTTTTTTTTCAATTTTGACGATTTGTCTCACCCATAAGGCACGCCATCGAGTATGCCAGCAGCCACATGGCTGGTCTGTAACCTGTAAATGGATTGTAGGCGCAGCAAACCATCGATGGCGCCCTCCAATTCCTGGGCGTTCGGCATGTGCTCTTGCTGGCGCAACCACTGCAGGCGTACCAGTGGCTCTGTAAGTGGAGTGCACACAGAGCGTATACTTAATTACATTTGAACATAAGTGGATTTGGCACTCACTTTTGCCGGTTGCGGCTGCCATGAGATTCGCAATGTGTTGCCAGTCCCGCGTCAGGCGTTTGCTCAGCAAATATTTGTTCAACGGACTCTCAAAGTATGCCACCCCCCATTGTTGCGCCTCGTTGCGCTCGCGCTCGAATTCGTCCAGTCGCCTGTCATTGCAGATTGGGTTGCATACAATTTGATTAGTGCCAAACCAGCTTCAGCTTACGCTCTCAGAAAATCCAATTTGCTTTCATTATCAGCTATGAATTTTTGCATGTGCTGCAACATTTGCTGCTCATAGCCAAACACCCTGGACATCGCATGTATAGACGAGTAGAACTCGGCGGAGGCGCCACTCCAGACCAAGAATGTCAGCACAGCCAGCAGCGCTCCGGGTTTATCTTGTGCGCCCAAGAATAACATTTTAACCGAGTTTCTGCTCTCGGCCACGACTCGCGGTCAACTGAGTTTGCCAATTGACCCCGCCTGTTCTTGGCTCGATCGATGACTCATGCATGGTCATGGTTTCCATATCTTACATAATTTCCAAGAGCCTCAGCGTAAGTTTCAGCCGCTTTTAACTAATTAAGCAAAACCTGTTTGTGCTTATGTTAAACGTAAAGAAAGCTCTGGGTTCATTGTGCCTCCTAACTGGTTTTGAGTCTAATTTCTAGGCGGCTTCTTATACTAGATACTATATGATTTTTTAATGGATCTTATCACATAAGTATCCTTTCTTCCTTTCCTAATTGTTCTGTGTAGTATAAATTGGAAATCCCATGTATACTCTATACCCATTAAAGGGTATAGAAAAATAATACATAAAGTTTTGCACATGTATTCAAAATCTACGTCAACAGCCGAGTTCATGTCTAAGAGCAAGTCCCAAACGTAGATCAAGTATTTAAATAATCGATATATAGGCAAATTTCTCTGCCAGCTCTAAATATCGATTTGCACTATGAACTTTGAGCGTATATATCTCGGGGATTATAAGAGCTATTGACATCAAAACACAAAAATAATTCAAGGCTGGGTGAAGAAGAAGCAGATCCGCTCTCGGCAAGTGTGTTACCGTGTGAGTGTGTGTGTGTGTAAGTGTGTGAGTTGTCCCAATTAGAGAACTCTAGGTGGTGTCTTGCGTCTCATGCTGAAAACTTCAGGTGTTACTCAACTTAATTGACCTAATTGCTCTTAAGGTGTTCTCCCAGGGAATGAAACTGGAAATAATGACAGGCAACTGTGTAAATGTTTGCTAACATTTCTACAGAAGTTATGTTAAGTTAAGTCGCTGCCTCTACTTTTAACAATTGAAAATCAGACAGTAACAATTGGAAAGTAGTGTGGTTAACATGTTTCGAGTGAGTGCGGTTCTGTTGACGTTCGGATTGAGATGTTTGAGTTGGGGCAGCACTTGTGCCGAATACACAGAGTCCGAGGACGGAGTGCAAGGTTTTCTCAATGTGGAGGAAATTTTAGTAAAACAATTTGAATTGTATCTGGACAAAGCGGAGAAAGAGCGAGACAGTATTATGAGGTGGGTATGAAGAAAACTTTTAAGTAGAAAATATAGTTTCATGCCAAATATGACACTTAGATTTTTGGACCATGTGCACCATTTGCATAAGGATATGGACGAACCAGAGGAGTACTTTGGTAATCCACTCAATGCCTTCACCACCATCAGCCGCTTCGCAAACAACTGGAAACATGAGATCTTCGACGTAGTGCTGGCCCACGAAAGCTATACGGAATTCAAACAACGTTTAACCAACGAGCTGGGTAGGCACGAACTTGAGGAGCCCACAAATGAGGATCTCCTAGGCGCCACACGTGATCTATTGGATATGCAGGAGAGCGAGAGCCGGGCCACATCGGAGCTGGCAAATGAAGTCATCTTCGCAGATGAAGATCGAGGCGAGAATGTGACTCTTAGCGCCAGCGACTGCTACGTCATCGGTCGCTATCTCTGTCAAGAGCATCAATATGACTATGCCACTGAGTGGCTACTGCAGGCGCGGCAACACGCCTCCCACGATGCGTCAACATTTCCCAATGTCAGCCAGCTGCAGATTCTGGAACACTTGGCCCCGGCACTCCAGGAGCTGGGCAACAACAAGCTGGGGAACAAGCTAAACAATGCAATTCTAAAGTCTGAGCCAACTCATGAGGCAGCTCTCAAGAATAAAATTGTGCTACAGAAGAAACTGGCGCTCGAGCGGATCCATATCGCAAACCTGAAAGTAGATTTATAGATGATGGAAGAGCAACAATTCATGGAAATAAGTTGCAGTAATAAGTCTTTTCTGTGACAGTCTAAATTATTGTTGCATATGATTTTAAAAGATTTTTTCCTCTTCATATAATGTACATAAACAAGAAATGAAATTACATACATAATAAACTGAATGCTAATGCTTTAATGTATAGATATAATATAACATACGACGAGATAACCCGTGCTCAGGCCTTTAATGCTTTAACATTTATGCTAACATATCTCTATATGCAAAACTGGTTTTCATCAATTACTGACTGCCTGACTGATTGGTGATCAACGCACAGAGCAAACTGTAAAAGGTATGAAGCTGAAATTTTTATTGTTGTTACCTTATATGCCGAAACAACACGCTAAGCCGTGGTTTTGGGAAATTTCACCCGCAAGTGCTTAAAAAGCGCGGAAAACGGAGCGTGCGACTTTTTTGTTTGCAATCCAATCGACCAAAAACTCCTCTGCAAAGATCTTTGCTTAAATTAATTTAAGAGGTGATACACATTTGTTGGGCGAATTAACATATATTCATTTGCTTCTACGTTTTTTTTTCAAAAATTCGATAGACTTCACGCGTGTTTTATAACTATAATATAACTTTAGACGTAACGTTTAATATAGTAGTAGGGAAAAGTTAAATTTTCCATTGGAGGGAAATTAATGAAAAAATGATCCCAAAAATTTTAAGGAATATACTTAAACAGGGAAAATCTGCCAAAAATTAAATATGTAAACATTGAACAGAATTGAAAGGTAACCCAGTTCTCAATCGAAAACTGCGACGACATGATTTCTTAGTTACAGCTACTAACGTCTGTAAATACCAATGAATACCATAGTAAAGTTAATTATCGAAAAGTCAATACATTTCAAGGGCACTTATGCAAATGTATTTATACTTTGATGTGATAAATGGACGTTGATGAAGTGGAAGCTCAAAGGAAAATAACTGGACTGATTGTACAAATGAAAAGCCAGCTCAAACCAATGCAATTTACAATATTTCCTGCGAAATCCATTGAAGCTGGCTTGAATCATTTTTGCTGCTAGCAACTGAGTTTGTTCACGCCGTTGATATGAATATTCCTGCAGGGTCCTTGGCATAAGTAAGTAATGTCTTGACAACGCCTTCAAGTTACAAGGACAAAGCATATTTAAACGTGTAATTTCTAGTTATTAGATAGTTTGCATCAACATATGATTCAAGCATCACAATAATAAAAACAATATTTGCTTACCTGTCAAAAATCTGAGAGCCTACCATAATTGAAAGCTAAAGCTTAAAGCAGAAATTTGATTGTATTTGTGCAAATGAATAGCAAATGTAACTTTTAGAATACGTCTTAAATTAAATATTAGACTGCTTATTTATCCAAGAGAGGTGGATTTTACGAAAAGTGTGAAACACAAAAAATATGTATTTTAAGAAAGAACTTTAAACATAGCTTCCATTCAACAAAATCCACCAATTTACCACAGTTGCGGGTGGAATTTTCTTATGAAGGGATTTAAATGTTAGTTTAAGGCAAATCGAACGACACCTTAAACTAACCTTCAAAAATCTTTTCAATAGTATTCTCCTCTGAGGACTCTTGGTTTTCTAATGGATTCAAGGTATAACAAAACTAACTCACTTTAGAACTGCAGTTTAAGATGTTGCCACAAGTGAAAATACCCAGCGGGGCGTAAGCAGCTTTAGTGGCATTAAATAACAGCTGCAGAATATCAGAAGACATCGCACAACAAATGACTTGGTGTGTTGGGGCCTTACCGGGACTTGACAAGGAAAGAAGCTAATAAGTAAATTGTGCAAACTAGATTATGGCTGAATATGAATTAGTCGCCTACCCCTTAAGCTTTTCTATGTAACTTTGAGGGGAAGATGTCCAGCTGAATATATTTGAGTTTCCAACTAAATGAATAAATATGTAATTCTGCAATAAACAACAGATGTAAATAGTGAAAAAGAGAATAACTTATCTTTCAAGCGATTGCTTGCAGGGCTTTGAAAGTAGGAAGAATAAAGCATATTACAAAAAAGAAAATGAAAAACTGAAAGAAGACAGTTCAAAAGACAGGTTACCTCCCTCCACCTCTCTCATAAGCCGGCAAAGATTCAAAGTTTCAGTTTAGACACAGCAGCCAAGCGGCTTGGTCGTCAATTGGCAGACAGTAGTTTTAGCAAAAGAATAATAAATATTTAGGAGCTAGCCGTGAACTTGAGCCACAAGCAAAATCAAAAGAGAATAAAGAACTCGCCAGGCATTGACCCGGACTAGAATAAAAACAATATTATAAAGAGAGAAAAACAACAAAAACCACGCAATTATGCAAATGCCGGCAGCAGTCCGATTGCTGTGGCTGCTTTGGCTAGCTTTAATGTGGCCAAGAGCAGCTGCGAGTGGCAGCAGTGAAGAGCACTTGCGTGAGCTGCTGACCACAGAAACCTTGCTCATCGATGCGCTGCGAGATTATATAGATGCTCTGGATAAACAGTTGGTGGTTATCAAGAGCGAAACTGCGGCTATAGAGCAGATACATCAGCTGGTGGGCAACCGGGTGGAGCAGCATATGGGCAATCCACTAAATGTGCTCACCATACTGAAGCGTTTCCAGAGCGTGTGGCCTCTGCTCGAGCAGCAAGCGAATGCCACGCATAATCTGGCCAACAATTTGCCAGATTATGAGTTGGACCTGCCGCTGCCCAGCGAGGAGGACTACGAGACGGCTCTGCTAAATCTGCTGCGCCTGCAATCAGTCTATGACCTGAAGCCGGCCACTCTCTCCCTGGGCATGGTACATGGCCTTAAGCTGGGGTAAGTATGCAAAAACAAATGCAAAACACAATTTAAAATTCACTTCGATTTTCACAGCTCGGCCATGACCTGGAGCGACTGTCTCGAAATGGCGCGTAATTCGGATCGAAACGGCGACTACGCCGTAGCCAAGTATTGGCTGGAGACGGCGCTGGGAAAACTGCCAGCTGAGAACAATGCGACAAACTCGGTCGGTGAGCAGGAGCGCGGCAAAGTCCAAATACTGGAGGCATCTCTCAATATGGATTATCGCGCAGGTCTGTTCCATTGAAACTCATCAAACTTTACGTATTTGCACGAACTTCTCAACAATAACAGGTGAATTTTTCAACGCACTCACAACGGCCAAAGAGCTGCTGCTCCTGCGGCCCGCCAGCCAAAATGTGAAAAAGGCGAAGGCCAAGATTGAACGAGCCATAAATGGAAGTCCAGCGAAATATCTGCCAAACAAGAAGTCCAGGGCAAAGGTAAAATCAGCAATGCAAATATTATGCAACATACAATGAATAATCCGAATTAAAAACTACATAATTATGCACTGGTTGAGCGTAGTCGACTTAAAGATACCCTAAACTCAGCATAAAAGCAGCAGTTGCTTGATATATATCAGGGCTGCAAATTAAAATAAGCCTTTGTATTGTCAATTTTAAATAGACATCGAATTTATCCCATCAGTCATATATGAAACTATGTACAATATGCAATATTTTCAGTAGAACGAGAAATAGTTCTTATTTAAACGTAAACCTGAGCTCATGGATATAGAATACTAGCTTAACAAACCTATAGGATAGCGTTTTTCTTTGGTTTGCAGCCTCGATCTATATATATTAATATATATTTTTAAAGTGTGCGCAACTGTCTGACTTTTGGCATTCTACTTTACTACTCAAGCATGATGCTTTAAATTTTCAATTATTTCTTTTAAGATACTTGCTCAAAACTTAATACAGATCTTTCTTACGTCCATTTCAAGCTCACAAAATCCGTTGAGCAGCTGATTGTTGACGATCTCTGTCGTTCTGCCTCGCAACAGCCCATAACAGGCAGCCGCTTCACAGAGTGTCGCCAAGATATATCAAATCTGCGTATGCTGCGCCTGGAGCAACTTAGTGAGGATCCTCTGATCATGCTGTATCATGATGTGCTCAACTCGCAGCAGACTGACCAGCTAATTAGTATGCTGGATGAAGTGCCGCGACTGCAAGAGTCAAAGACAGCCGCCTTTGAGCCGCTTAAATTCACTAATCTTGCACAGAAAAGGTTGCGTGGCATTCATAATCAACTGGGCATGGCCGGTGCTGAGCCAGAGCTGTGGCAGGCACGTCGTCATAGTCACGAGCACGTGACGCAACCAGAGGAGCCAGCCAGCACATCGGGGCATGTGGCACGTGCGCTGCTCAATGTGCGTCATTTTAATTAAATGATTACTTAATATATCACTAATTGGTCCATTATCATCTTGCCTCAGCTTCAAGAGGCCAGATTGGGCGGCGCCGTTGTCTTTCCACAGTTGGAGCTCAGCGTCTGTGTCCCACGGGGCTCTCTGCTCTACTGGAGCGTACGCAGCGTAAGCGAGTTTTCAGCTACGTCCAGGTCGGATTACCGTAGTCGCCAGCTTGTCTGTCCGGTGCTCCTGGGCGCACAATTATGTAAGTAGAGCACATATGCCTCCTGAATGAACTCTACAAATCCCATTGCACTTTGCAGCGGCTTGGACGGAGCTCAGTTGAAGCCTGTCAGACGATCCTTCAGAGGTTGAAAATATGACTGCATGATTTGCCTTTTAATCTTTCGCTAATTGTCACAAACGAAAATAAATGCTGAAATGTTAAAATTTTATTGAATTACATTTGCACTTCAATCTGACATTAAATGGCCATTTCATTGGCGTCGCCTTTTGACTAATTAGAGAGCAAACAAACAAAATTTATATATTTATGCATCACAACATGCTATAATTAACATTCGAGCTGAGTTCTGTTCGGCTTTTGGCCAAATGCCTTTGGCCAGTGGGCAGCAGGAAGTAGTTAAAGTCAATATTAAAAGTCCAAGCAAACATGTTAAGTCGAATTTTGAGCATTGCATACATGTGTGTAAATCAAATGTCAATTAACACAAACAATAGCACTTATATTAAACTTTACTTGCTCGTTATTAAATGCAATAGAGTATAGTAAAGAAAATGGCGTTAAGAGATACCCTGTACTTTTGAAATACTATTAATTATTAATATATATAAATTATATATGTAACTGATAATTCGACTCACAAGCAAATTTTGTTTAAAATTAAATGTAATAAAACATGAAGTAACATTTTAATTAATACAATGTTTTGTGCCTAAATAAAGTCATATAAATGTATTTTATTTATTATTTTAAATTTTTTAATAATAGTAGTTACCATAACAAAGCAATTTCTAAGAATAACTTAGCCCAATAAATTTGGCAAACAAATACAGGGCATAATTCTGTTTTCTTGTCGTCAGAGCGGCGCTTTCCAACACTAGATCGTTAATAGCAACAGCAGCGACTGCATTATTAAATATCAGACAACGCGTTCTTAATTAGCCAGAATTAATAAGCCATCGAATAAGGCGACAATGTGCCGCGACAGTGGCGAGTAGAGAGAACTAGAACTCGGGGCAGGTCCACGCCGAAAACGAGCTAATGATAAGCATCACTAAATCAGCTTTGGCAAAGCCATAAAACATGCTTAATCGCGACGAAACTCGTATGCTCTTCATTAGAGTGGCTCATAATGCCGATATCTATTTTTCATAGCCGTCGACATAGACTTCGACTTAGACATAGGCACACATCAATTGGTTATGCAAATACTGTAGCATGTAGTTAGCACCTGGTCGTGGGTATCCGAACTCCTAATCGCGTGTGCCAGAATGTCTGTCATCACTGGTTTTATTCACAGATCTCTCAGGGGGATGTTCGGCCCGAGCTGCGGCACCGGCATCAGTATATTGCGAGACGCGACGCACTGCAGACGCCTAAAATAGTTTTAGCTGCTATATCCATACAAAGTATATAACATATATCTATAAGTTAAGATGCGGGTTAATACGGGACTGCTGGCACTATTGGTGCTGGCCAGCCTGATCTGTGGCCAGGCTACGGATTACTTCTCATCCATTACTGGACTGGAGCACTTGCTGCACACGGAGCACACTTTGATGAAGGATTTAAGTTCACAGCTGAGTGCGACCCGAAATGCATTGAAACAGTTGGAAAGGTGACAATATATAATGTCAACAGTTTAAATGGCGTAGTTTTAGTATATGCTTCGAATAAACGTCATAAATAAATAATTTATGCACGCTCATAAAATTAATTTTTATTTGGTATATTTTACAAATGAGGCTGTTTTAATATTGAAAGTTGCACAGCTGAATGCTATCTAAATGTCATCTTTAAATGTCATTTTCAATTGGTCAATAATAATGAATTTGCATATGCTATTGTATACTTTAATACATCCACGTAGAATTTTCCGCTTAAGCAACTATTTTCGAGTTCTTACAGTTTCAAGTTTGGCATATTGCTTTTTTTTATTTTTTCATTTTTGCTTTCGTTTGCATTTTATGGGTTTGATCGTAAAAAAAAAGTTTTGTGTTTAGAATCACGTAGAATCGCAAATAAATTAGAATTAATTAAGTCCAGCTGTCTTGGCGGTGGGCTTCTTATGTCTATGACGACAAAGCCCACAAAACGTCCAAACTGGTAGCTATCGATTTATGATTAGAGTTATAAACTCGTCTAAGCCAAAATCCGCAACCTGATCCACAGAGAGCTGTCGTCTATTAAGGTGGAACATGCACTGGCTGCCAGAGGCTTGGAGAACTATCTGACCAATCCGGTCAATATTTATCGTCTGATGAAGCGTCTTCACACGGACTGGCAACAAATGGAGAATCGGGTCCAGCAAATGAGCGCACAACTATGTAGGTATTCAACATTATTTTCAGTGTAATTATGTCAAAGAAAACTTGAATTCAATATTTTAGGTTTCAACATTACACAACACTATGGCCTTAACTTTCCCAGTCAGGAGGATGTGGAAGGCGCCGCACTGGCCTTAGTTCGCCTGCAGAGCACCTATAAATTGGATGTGGCTCAAGTGGCCGCTGGCATACTGAATGGCATCAAATACGGGTGAGCGGCTAAGGGATGCAACCCAAATAAGCAATAACCAGTCAAGCTTAAAATACATGAGTACTACATAAACATAATACTCATACTATTCAACACTAGGCAGGAGCGGATTTTTGCTGTTGAGGGTGAAGCGCCCTGGGGCAAAATATTCAATATTATAGATATTTAATCATGCGGACTCGTGCATAATATCAGTCTCTTCTTTGAGCTAGACGGCTATTGTTTCTGCAGATTATAATCGAGCTCCCTTCCACATTTCTCAATCCGCCCCTGCACAGGTTGTGTGTAGTTGTGTGGTGTTGTTTGTCGTGTGTTGTGTGTCGTGTGTCGTTACCTAAGCACCAATCATATTCATTTCGATTTTCGTGTTGCCCTTATTTTTAGCACGGACATGAGCTGGCAGGATTGCTTTGTGTTGGGTCAACAACTCTTTGAAATGGAGGACTACAACAACACGAAAGTATGGTTGCGCGAATCTATGGAGCGATTGCGACGCCATCAGCCGCAGCCCAGCGCCCCAGAGCCCGCCCTGCTAAATAACATGGAAATGGTGGCGCAGAGTTTATTCCGTATGGGTGAGCAGCCCGCTAAGCCATCGGCCAACTTTATGCATATTTACCAAGCGATTTTTAGGCGACTTTGACACGGCATACGAACTGAGTCAGCGCGTGCTCGAGCTGGATCCATCGCGCATACGGAATTGGCATCTGGGTGACAAGACCGCCAAGCTGACGCACGGCGAGAGTGAGGATGTGGCACAGCCAAGGCAACCAGATGCTTACAAGGTGAGTCCTGCCACACGAATCATCTATGTTGTCTGTGACGAATTTTGGACTCTGGCCCTCAGCTTACCGAGGAGTTCGCCCACTATGAGAAGGTGTGCCGAGGCGAGGTTGGCGCCTCTGCTGCCCAGCAGCGGCCTTTGCGCTGTCGCTATACACGCGGTGAGCATGCCTATCGGCTGCTTGCACCGCTCAAGCTGGAGGAGCATAACCTGGACCCACTGGTGGTCACCTTTCACGACATGCTGAGCCAGCAAAGAATCGCCGAGCTTCGAGAAATGGCTGTGCCGCACATGCAGCGTTCCACAGTTAATCCTCTTCCCGGTGGCCAACGGCGAAAATCCGCGTTCCGCGTGAGCAAAAACGCGTGGCTGCCTTACAGCACGCACCCAACGATGGAGCGCATGTTGCGTGATGTTAGCGATGCCACCGGCCTGGATATGACCTACTGCGAGCAGCTGCAGGTGGCCAATTATGGCGTCGGTGGTCACTACGAGCCCCACTGGGACTTCTTCCGCGATTCGCGGCACTATCCGGCCGCAGAGGGCAACCGCATTGCCACGGCCATATTTTATGTGAGTTAAACCACACTGAGTCCACCTCATTCGCAAAAATTAACTTTCGTGCCATGCTGCAGCTCTCGGATGTGGAGCAGGGTGGCGCCACAGCCTTCCCCTTTCTAAACTTCGCCGTGCGTCCGCAGCTAGGCAATATTTTGTTTTGGTACAATTTGCATCGCTCCTCGGACATGGACTTTCGCACCAAGCACGCGGGCTGTCCCGTGCTAAAGGGCAGCAAGTGGAGTAAGTATTTTACCAAAGCGAACAACTAGTTTCTCATGTCAAAATTTGCATCAATATTGACCTTTCGAACAGTTATAATTGCTTGCTTCAATTATAATCCATACTCATAATGCTCAGCTTATTAAAAATTTAACAAATTTTGTTTGATACAAATTTTATTGGCAAATTTCTGTTTAGAGATTAGATATTCAAATGTAATTTAATTGGTTTCTCGTGGCACATTTGTATGCGTATGCTCAGAATTATTAATATTCATATAGTTTTGACAAGTGAGATGTAAGAATGTGGATGCTATTACAGCCGACTGTGCAATACCCTCTTCACAGTTTTATAGCAACAGGTGGAAATCAGTCTTTCTGATATTAAATATCATTGGACATTAGTGTCTTCAAAACTGTAACTCTAAAGCAGTCGCTCTCAAACGGTTAGGCTCAATTCTTAGGGCAGATTTTCAGGGGAAAATTCCTACAAACAGGTACATAACTAATATGCTAGTTTCCACTTTGTGAACAGAGTATAAAATATAAAAGAGGTATTTTAGAAGACAAAGCATTTTGATGTCTTTGTAATTACTAAAAAGATGACAACGATTGTTTAAATTACACAGAAATAAAGATGAAGATGCTTGTACGAGATGATGTAATTTAATATAATAAGTAGTATATAAGGAGTGCAACAAGATGGTTGGGATGGGGCAGGTGCATTTACAGAAATGTGTTTAAAATACGTTAAACTGGAGAATAATTGACATTAACTTAACCTATTACTAGATCTTTTATACTTCTTTAACAGCTTCTCTCTATTCTTTTTAAATTTCCATACCTGACAGTCGCCAACATTTGGATACATGAGGCTACACAGACGTTTGCTCGACCCTGTGATTTATATCGGGACAATGGAGTTTCCCTAGGCTATGACATTATTAAATAAACTAGTTGCGGATTTATAAACGATTATGCTTTATTTTACTTCTTATCCGCGCCCATTTACAGCTCGAAAAATCACTGGGATAGTAAATTCGAATATAATATTATCTAAAAAAAAACGCCATCACTAGAATATTGTCAATAACGGCTAGCAATGTATTTCTAGGGTTAACCACCCAAAAAAATAAAACTCAATTTTGAGTGTTTTTGCCTCAAAACAAAGCGTGAGTTAAAAATTGAATTGAGCTCGGATTTGCCGGCAATTTGCATAAACAAGTTCACGGGCAAAGTCTCAGCAGCTCATTTGCATGTTAGCGGCATAGAATTAGAAAATGACAACTCTCTGAGTTAGCAGCCAAGTGAAAGTAATTAGCGAAGAGAAAATTTGTGACAATATTAAACATTATACGAAAAGTGGACTAGGCAGCCCGAAAGATGATCTCCCAGAGTGTTAGGCGCTTAATTAAATAGCTTGGAGCCTATGTAGAGTGATTGCTGGCAACACTTTGGGTTTATTGAACTCGAGCAGTCTTTTATTACCTGTTGGCCGGCTCCATTCATGCCTGACGGTGGGGCCTCGAGGGCAGTTCTTTGACCACAGCTACAAATGCCGGCCAAAATGCCCAACAGCTGCGGCTAAAGCTTAGCACCGCCAACGCTGAGAGCTTTTGCTAGACTGAAGATCCGCGGAGACGGTTTGTTAATTTGTCAGCAGATCGAGCCCGAGCAGTTCTTCACGAGGCGCCGCAAAGACAGCACGAGCTCTAAGACTCAGGAATATTTGAATTTTAAGTTTTGAAATTGTTTCAAATAGGACCGATTGTAATGAAGCTTTCGGCAGCTTTTGGAATTTTATTATTTGGACTACAAGTCCTGGCCTCCTATGCCGAATTTTTTAGCTCGACCAGCGGCCTGGAACAGCTGCTACGCACGGAGGTCATGCTGACGATAGAGCTCCAGAAATATGTCAACGAAATAAGGCAACATGCTGATATATTACAGGGGTAAGTGTTTCCCCAAGAAAAATACATTAGACTGACTTCACTTTATTTGAGTCGTCTTTTTTTAAAGTCCTATCAATAAAGTCTGCCACGGCAGCTAATGGCATATTAAGTAGTGGGCTGTGCAGTGAATCAGAGTTCTGTGACCAGCTACAATCTGGTTTTAACTGTTGATTTTATTTGCATTTTGATTTGATTTAGATGATTTATGCTGATTTCATTATGTGTACAACAAGATTTAAGTTCCGAGACTAAAATTTCTTCTGCAAGGCGACCAGCTTTCCAGTTCTCGCTTGCAGTAGACATTTGCTACTTGCTTGGCTTTATGAATACTTAAAATTAATAAATAAATAATCAAATGTTGTATGCCCACGTGCCGCATTGAAGAGACAACCCACACAAATTGTTTGTTTAATATTTATATTCTTGCCGATCAAAACAAACTGTTGGGCATTTGTGAACGGCCTGTTTTCTGTTGAATGTCGAACCTCAGCGGCATCTGAAAGTAACTTTTGTTAGCCGAGCTTTGGGTATCTTTTTGCTAAGCAGTCGCCTTTGGCAATTTTTTTATTTTTTATTTCTTTTTGTTTATTTAATTACACTTCATTTGCGCATTCCCACTCAACCGGTTCACATTAAGGCGTCTGAATTGTGGTCTGGTCTAAGGGTAAAAGTACACAGATGCACGTATGTACATACTATACATATTTTTATTTTAATATATATAGTATATTTATTCCTTGACTGCTTTTTGTCATCTGCTGTTTTATATACATTTGTTAATAATTTTAAAGCTGCACGCATTTTATGCGCTTTATTCAATTTATAAACTGCTAATATCTCTCTCTAGCCGCTTACCTTATTTACACTTAGTTGACTTTTCGGCACCTGTTTGATGTTTTGAATTTATTATCTATTTATTATCTATTGCCATCGATTGCTACCTCAGCAAGCCGCAGTCGCTGCGGTTTTTTGTATAGACAATTGTTTATTCTATTGCTTGGCCATAAGTGTCAACGACTTGTCAGCCTTTTGTATGTGTATCAAATTTATCCCCGATATCTTCAGAATTCACTTTTATTCTGTTGTTTGTTCGTTGTATTTGCAAACCGGCTCTATAATGCAAAAATTAGTACATAAGATGAACCGTTAAGCAATTTTTAAATAATAAAGTATTATATAGACTAATATATATATATTAAATTTGATACCCTATTGAAATGAAATTTCATTTTATCGCAAGCGCAACAGATAAACAGGTTCAAGTTCCGTTTACATCATGATATAGCTTTGCAATTTGTAGAACATATTTTATAATAGAGAAATGTCTTGGGAACACAAAGCATTTGTTATTTATGGCTCTGGGGTGCTAAGAACAAACGAATGCTACTACTACTACTTAATAAATAGCCCGATAAAATGCGGATACCATCTAGTTGACAGCAGATGCTGCGACATTGCCGTTTAAAGTTATGGTGACATTTAATTCCCGATTAATGAGCGCCAGCCAAAAAAATAAAGGGGGTTGGAAAGGAAGAAGTGTGCAGGAAGACAACCGTAAAAACAAATTCATTATTTATTGAAGCGGGCGCCGCGAATAACTAAATTCTATTTTATTCCTACAACAGGTATTATCACTTTATAACAATGGATGCAACAAATCCCATTGAACAAAGTATATAGCATTCTGACCAAGATAGTTTGCTTGGCTCTTTTAAAATAAAAACAAATTTTCGATGGGCAGTAACTGATAACTGAGAGAGAAATTTTGGCAATCGAACATTCTCTTGTGTGATGATGGTGTGATGAATTCTAGCGATAAATCAAACGGGTTGTCGGATTTTTCCATTCTGGTAATAAAAAATAGAAAGCACTCAAAAGCGCTTTATTTCATTTTAAAATAAAGTAAATACCCGAGAGCAGCTTTAATTTATATTCTTATTTCTACATAGATACGTCTGTAAATACTTGTGTACTTACCCAAAAAGTCACATACACACGCATTGCCATCTATCAGTGGAAGGGCGACAGACTGTTTTGTGTGCGCAACACAAAAGAACAAAAGAAGTTGAGATATTGGATATTGTAAGAAAAGGAGGAAGAGCTAAGAGGGAAAGACAGGGAGAAATATTGCACAAGAGAATTCATTTAAGTGAGTGTGAGCAGAATAAAGTTAATTAGATTGCCAACGCAACTTGTGAATATAATACTGACAATCAAAGCTCGAATTCATGAGAATCGCATAGCAGGGCAATGTTATAAAATACGTTTTAATTAGTAGCGCACTTGGCACTAGAGTTTAAGAGAACTCATATTCACGGAATCATAAATAAGAATAATAAACATTTTCAACTCAAGTTTCAAAGAGTTTTTAACTCAAGTTTAAGGTGCACGCAACGTCAACTTTAGCACATTCAACTTTGGACCCATAGTTTTCCCCAATGGATTGAACTTTGTAACAAGTACAAGCCATGTTACAGCTTTAAAGTAAGTGCCTTCTGGTTTACAGTTTAAAGGTCACAAGCTCATCTGTTTCGGCCGTTTTAGAACGTTCAATTAGAGTATTGCGCGTTCTGTTGTACCCTGCTAAAACGTGTGTTGTTTTTAGTTGTTTTTTAAAGTTTTAATTAATTGAAAAGTGTCACTGTATTAAAGTGCTTATAAATTGGCTGTCATGCACAACCGCCACACTTAAATGTCTGCGAGCACAACAAATGCGTTTAATATGCAAATTTGCGATTATGCAAATTATAAAAAATATGAAACAATTTAAGGTCTGATTAATGCTTAACACACAGGCTATGCAAAGCCCAAAAGGCATTTCATGAATTTCATTATTCCCATTTGTGCTGCAGCGAAATTGATGCGATTAAATCGGAGCATCTGAGCGCCGCGAATAGCGTCGAGGGATATCTGAACAATCCGGTGAACGCGTTCCGGTTGATAAAGCGCCTGCACAGCGACTGGGAGACGTTTGAGAGCACCGTGGAGCGGGATCTGAGCCGCACAAGTTGGTATCAGATTTGGGCATCAATCATGTGTCCCTTTAAAGATGCTATCATTATCTGACTAGCCCGCTTTCTATTTGTCGTTGTTCCCCTTCTGCTCCTTCTGCTTTAACCGTGCGGGCACACACAATAGACTTCCTGGGAGCGATGGCGGGCCACAGAGAGAACTTGAGCTTCCCCACACAGGAGGACTTTGTGGGCACGGCCCTGGCGATGACGCGACTGCAACAAACCTACCAGCTGGACGTGGGCGAGCTAGCGAGTGGCATACTGAATGGCATCAAATATGGGTGAGTGACGCCGGCCATGGACGTGGCAAGTGGCAATCACAAATCACACTCGACAGCTCGTTACAGTGCGGCGATGTCGTGGCAGGACTGCTTTGTGCTGGGCCAGCATCTGTTCTCAATGCGGGACTTTAACAATACGGTGCCCTGGCTGCAGCAATCGATGCAGCTGCTGGTAAAGCAGAGCTACAGCAAGGAGCCCGACGCATTGGATTTCATGGAAACGGTCATGGGTTACCACGAGTCGATGGGTGACTACGACAATGCACTACATCTGATCAATCATGTGCTGGCCGTACAGCCGGAGGAGCGTCTTCATCTGCTTGAGACACGCGCCCATCTCGAACAGCTCATTTCGGACGGCGTTAAGCGCGGCCTAATGCATGAGGTGGCGCGCAGTCCGGACGACTACCACATCAGCCGCGAGTATCGTCTCTATCAACAGGTCTGTCGTGAGGAGTTAAGGCCAGCGCCTTCAGCGCTGCGGGACTTACGCTGCCGCCTCTTTGCTGGAAACGGACGAAAGTCCACGTATGCACCCTACAAGTTGGAGGAACTTCATCTGGAACCCTACATCATACAGGTGCACCACGTCATCAGCGCTAGGGACGCCGCGGAGCTGCAGCATTTGGCTCGACCAGAGCTACAGCGTTCACAAGTTTATAGCCGCACTGGCCACGAGCATATCTCTGCCAACTTTCGCACCAGCCAAGGCACCACCTTTGAGTATACCGATCATCCAATCATGCAAAAGATGAGCCATCATGTGGCTGAGATATCCGGCCTGGATATGCGCTCTGCGGAGCCGCTGCAAATTGCCAACTACGGCATTGGCGGTCACTATGAGCCGCACATGGACAGCTTTCCCGATTCCTATGACTACAGCCTGAACATGTACAAAACCAACCGCCTGGCTACGGGCATCTACTATGTAAGTGCTCCACATCTTATCTCCTAAGAACTATCAAATATACCTATTGTTTTCTTAGTTATCTGATGTAGAAGCGGGCGGTGGTACCGCCTTTCCCTTTCTACCACTCCTTGTCACACCTGAACGGGGTAGCCTGCTCTTCTGGTACAATCTTCATCGCTCCGGCGATGCGGACTATCGCACCAAGCATGCTGCCTGCCCGGTGCTGCAGGGCAGCAAATGGAGTGAGTTGAAACTAATGTGCAAAGCCTCGTAAGTTCTAATCAAGAATTCACTCTTTATCATCCAGTTGCCAATGTGTGGATACGTTTGAGTAATCAAGACCACGTAAGACCCTGTGAACTGCAACGTGATCACGAGATCTCCCTACCCTATCAGGACTACAAGTAACAATTATTAATTTAAAATTCAATTTAGTTTGCTTGCCATTTGTTATAAGTACCAATCAGATTATTGACTTGACTAAATCAAACTTAATTACTACCTTTTAAATCACAAAAACTGAAAATGTTAAAATGAATAAAATTATTGCATAATTTTCTTATTATTATTTATTTAATCTGAAAATATGAATTCTGTATTTTATTCTGACGCAGCTTGTGTCATTCATTCATTATTATATCTTATACCAGCCATCTTACTCGTTGGCTTTAAGCGTGCATGGACGACGGAACTCCTGGCGGGTGGAATGAATCCAAATGTTGGCAACTGTAAAATACATTACGATATTTATAAGATCGGAGGTTTTAGGCCTGCTTCAACTTACTGCGCTTGACGCCCTCAATGACTGGACAGCCAGCATGTAAGGTGCGGCTATCTTTATTCAGAGATCGGTGTAGATTATGCCAGCTAACCATGGCGCCTTTCACGGGTTTCAGAAATACATTTAACTTGGGAAAGACCGTATAGCCGCCATTAAGTACATCCGATAGCTGAAACATAATTGAATTCAATATTGTTTACAGTTTGCACCCGCTTAAACTCACATAGAACATATTCGTTGCGATGCGATTGCCTCTTGGAATGTAGCTGTCGGGCATTTTGGACATGTAATCCGTATGTGGCGCATATTGGCCGCCAATGCCATAATTAGCCACCTGCATTTGTTCGGCATTCTCCATATCGAAACCAGAAATGGCGCCAACTAAATTGCTTACGGAACGCAGGATCGGGCTGCTGTAGTTGAGCCACACCTGTTGGCTAACGCGCCAATCCGTCACAATACTGCTGCTCACCGAGGAGCGAAAACTGTCGAATTGCTCAACTACTTCATAGATGTCATCTATCTGATCATCGTTGATCAGGTCATAGTACATGTGTATGTCCGGATTCAGACGGACCTGCTCCACTTTTAGTGGCGCTAGCCTGAAGCGCGCATGACGAGTGTAATCTAAATAACAATTTAGTGGACTTCCATTTCGCTCCGGTTCGGACAGTCGCTTGCCCTGGCAGAGCTGCGTGTAGTTGTCAAACCAGGAAGCTGGGTCTTGCTCTTTGGGACACTTGGGCATGCTCTGCTGCAAGTAGTTGAGTGTATATTGTGCTGGATGTGGCGGATGTTCCGAATACCAGGAGAGCATCTCTTCTAAGGTTTCCACACCCTTCTCCCGTTCACCCAACTCGATGTGGGTCAAGACCAAATACTCGTAGATCTCTGTAGCCATTTGCTGCACATTTTCCCCGTCGACTTCCTGGAGTAAATTGACCGCTTGCAGCAACCACTGCTGGGCGCTGCTATACTCGGCCAGTTCGTATAGCTGCACACCAATCTCAAAGCAGTCGCGCCAGAGAAGCACGCTGTCTGTGTGGACGCCATTGAGGATGCCATCGGCCAGATCACTGGCTGTTAGATTGTACACACGCTGCAGGCGTAGCAGACCCTTGACTGCGCCCTGCAGCTCCTCTTCATTTGGTATGCCCACAGCTGCAGAAATTGCATCCACCGTCGCGCGGTAAGCTGCATTTAATAAAGTTAGGAAATATATGTATATGTGAATATCTTGCACCGGAAACGTTACGCACTTTCTTTGGGCTGATTCGTTATAAGTATCTTGTATAGTTCTGGCCAGTCTTCGACCAAACGCTTGGTCAGCCTGAAGGCCTGCAGCGGCTGTTCCAAGTACTCCTCATCCTGCTCTAGCTCTTGCCTGGCAAAAGCATGCTCGCGACTGACACGCTCCACAAAACTATAAATCACAATAACAATCTACAGCTTCCGCAAACGGTTTTGATAAAATGTTGGTACCTGGACAACATGTTGAGCTGCTGCAGCCGCTCCGCCAAATAGACATACGTGGCAGCGACCAGCTCTTGTTCCACTTGCCCCAAGGCGTTCATGCTGTCAATCGAAGAGTAAAATTCGGCATGTACAAGGATGCCGATGATACCAGAGAGCAACAGACACACAAAAATGCAACAGTGTTGACGCAGCATTATGGCTTGTGGCTAACACACGACCTGGCCAAAGAACTGTTGGCTAATGAACGCATTTCAATAGAGGCAGCTAAGCGTTTGTCGATTGTTTGCCTTTCTTTTGCCCCAAATATGCTGAAAACTTCCAGCTCGAACTGTCACGTATCCACAACAGCGAACAGTTGTGGCTAGGCAAACAACTATTAGACAGTTCCATTCTCTATTTAAACAGCATGCACGAAATGTTTAATTTTTTAATCGAATGGCTAATGCCGTGCAGCTTCTCTCAATTTATGCGGAAAGTATTCAATCAGAGGCAACCATTCATTGCCCCTGGCGATGGCCACACGGCTACACTTTGCTGCCGCGTAAATTAAATTGGCCGCGAGCTCTTCAAAGTATGCTGCGTGCAACATGCAACGTGCAACATGCTGCAAACTCGTTTACCAACCCAGAGCCGATTTATGCACGCACACGCTAGCGCAACCGCACACCCACCCAAGCACATACACGCACTCGAGAACATCAACATGCATAATAAGTAGTACTATAGTCGGGAATGCCCGACTTGGAGATACCCAGCCAGTACCGAGAAAACATTGTAGCTTCCTTCTATAAATACACTCCCACAGACTCGTTCACATACAAACACTCTCATCCGATTTCGATTCTAATGCATGATTTAAAATAGTCTCAATCTTTTCGTCCACAATTCCACAATAGTCTCTGCGATTTACAGAGAGACTAAGATTGAGAACATGTGCACTCAATAGGGTAGGATATGCCTCCTTCTGCCAGCTACAAATATTTTCACAAGCTCATTATCCCCACTTTACCCTCGGCTAATGATAAACAATTTAAGCAGCTTAGCAAAGTGACATAAGGCAGACAACAAGTTACGATACTAAAGGAAGCCCTCCACAAGCCAGCCACTTTGGTATCCAAACAGTTTTGAAAAATTCTAAGGATTAGATTGCAGAGTTCTCACTCGAAGGAGCTCTTTCAACATAAATTATAATTAGCTCGGATAGCTTCAAAATTAGCAAGAAAATGTTAATACTGGTATATACGTAAGCTTTCTTGCCGCTTCTAACAAGCAGAATAAAATAGAAATAACAAAAGAACACATTTAAAACTTACTTTAATTCCTTTGAATTGATTATCTCAAAAAAAGATATAAGAAATTCTGAAATATTTTTCCTATATATCTTGTTCCCAAATGAAATACCAATTAATTTATTCGTGTTCTCTTTGATCGCATCATTTGTTCGTTTTAATTGCAATTATTTTCTAGATTTTTTTATATTTTTGTACAAAAGTTAATAAATTCAATAATAGCATGTCTAAAATAAAACTAATGCCAAGTCATGGTATGTAGTTGAAAATAAATGATTTTTGACAGCAGCCGGACCCTCATTTTTGGGTTGAGTATTTACAATAGGAAAAGATTATGAGAATTCCGGCCGGCAAGTTCTTAAAGATATGTTAGAATGCAAAGTAAGTAGAAGTGGGTAGTAAGCACATTGGTCAGCTGGTAAATGAGATTCCGGCTTCAGCTTAAGTTCTCTCCTCGAACATTGCACTAAATGGCAAAATCACCATGATCAGCAGTCAGGTCACAGGGTCTTCTGAACTCCTGGCCGCGCTCGTGTATCCACTTGTTGGACACTGCAATGAGTTGAGCATTTAGTCGGCTCATAGATGGGCAAATACTTTCCAGAACCTACCCCATTTGCTGCCTGTGAGCACAGGACACGCTGCATGTCGCGTGCGCACATCTCCCTCGCCGGAGCGATGCAGATTCATCCAAAAAGCAGCCGTGCCCTAGAAATAAAATCAAAATCAAATATATCGATTCACTCAGGCATGATTTTCTAGATATGTGTACCTTCTTGGGCCACAGAGCCGCATGCAGCGAGGTAAAGACTGTAGCGCCACCCTGCTCCACATCGCTCATCTGGAAAAGCAAGAACAAAGAGAATGAAAAGGAGCTCAATTTCCCATAATAAGTTTCAAACTTACATAGAACAACATGGTGGCAATGCGATTTCCAAGATTGAGGCCCTCAAAGGCGCGTTTCTCCTCGCGCTGTAAAACAAGAGTAAAACAAACTTTATTCACATTTTCCACAAAGTAAATTGATAAAAACTTACCCGCGCGAAATCAAAGTGCGGCTCGTAATGGCCGCCAATACCGTAGTTAACCACTTGCAGCTCCTCGGCGGAGTCCATGTCCAGGCCCGTCATGTCCGCGGTGCGCTGCACCACTGTGCCAATGACACGATGCTCGGTGGTCTTGAGCCAGGCGGATTTGCTGATGCGATAGTTGGCCGTTTCCAGGGCGCCCGTCACCGAGTTTTGAACGGTGGCGCGGCGGAAACGTGGACGGGCCATGCGCTTGATTATCTCAATCTCGCTGTCGTACATGGCATCGTGATAAATAACAATGTATGGATCCATGTAGGCCTCCTCCAGCTTGAGCGGGGCCAGCCTTAAAAAGGCCACATTGTTGTTGACATAGCGACAGCGAAGCGGACGCAGCTCTGACGGCGAAGGCTTCAGCTCACCGCGACAGAGCATTTCGTAGGCCTTGCGCTCGGTCATGTCAAAGACGCCGGGGTCGCTCTTGGCCACAGGCTAGGCGCGAGTAGAAGATAATTAAAGACCACTAGGATAGAAGGATTGAAGTGTTATTACACCTACCAGATCGGAAACGGGCATTTCATCGGTGCCATCGTCACCCTTCATCTTCTGCAGCTCCTTCAGGTGGGCAATTTCCTTTTCATAGAACTTCTTGTTGCCATTGGCCCGCTCGTGGTTGGGCAGCAATTGCAGCAGCTCATTTGTCATGGTCAGTGCGCTTTCAACATTGCCTACGCTTGCCCATATTTCAATTACAATTTCAATTCCGAATCCAGTTCCGGTTTTGAGGTGAGGGTAAGAGAATAAAGTCTGAATTAATGAATGCCCAAAAGTAAGCTTCAGTTGTTCTTGGCCAGCTCTGACTTTTAACTGCCCCTAAACCCAACTCAGCTCAAATGTTATCAAAACTTCTTGGTTATGAGCGTACAGTGTACACTCGTAAATTGGAAACAGGGATACATTTGTATTTCATTTTGTGTTTATGTTTGTGTGCGTCGCCCACAAGTATGCAATGCTCTTAAGATCTACAATTCTCAGACTTTTCAGACTGAAATTAATAATACATTAGGCGATAGCTCTGCTCTCTTGAATGCCTGGCAAATGGCAAATGGTAAATGGATAATAAATTATTTATGACTGCCACACAACGTCCAGGCTCAACGGCACAACGTATGATAAAATGCCAGCAAATAAGTATAAGTTTTTTATATTTGCAGCGAGAGGAAGCCGCAAAAGCAAACTTTTCAGAGCGCTTGCAACTTGTGTTTTTGTTTTTTTTTTGGTTTTCTAATAAAAACTTTCAGCATTGAAATTATTCGCATTTATTTGTGTCCTAGCCTCGCCCTGGTAGTTTATCAATGGCAAGTCCCTTGGCTTTTTGCACCAATTAGATTGCATAGCACTTTAAGAGTGGCCCTTAATTTCATTGAATATTTGGTTCACCTTCGCCCGCCCCACCTGACTCTGTGAATTTAAATTTGCATTTTGCATGCCAATGCCTGCGATCCTGACACATATGCCCTCGAGGAAGGCCGAAGGCAACGGATTTTTTGTGTCAGCATGTCTGTTGGATGCCTGTAAATGTGGGCTATAGCGGGGGCGTGGCCGGGCAAAGGTCTGCACCACCTCGTATACGGTTTTTTTTATACTTTTCCACAATATGGCAGCAGTTTCGTTTACTGCAGCCTGTTCGTAAATACTGCGGTGCCGCATTTTTATGCGGCGCACAGGCAAAACAGAGACGAACAAACAAAAAACGTGAAGTGGCAAAGTTTACGACTGTAAGATACTCTGTTTTCAGAGGTATTGCCGTGTGTTTAATAAAATAAAATATATATCGGGAACGTTAGTTAGTTTTTAAAACCTATATCTTTTTTTAAGCTCGAGACTCGAGCTTTGCAGTTGGAAGCGCTTAGTTGGCTCAGTTAAACCGAATTTCGGGGGCATACATATTATGAGTTTGTAATAAATCATATTTGTTTATGTTCGCACTACACCCGTTCACGCCTAAAGGACAGAGTATATAGCAAAGGGAGGTCGGACGGTCATAAAGACAGATAGCTTGTGTGATATAGATACAGGCACAGACACAGATATAGATACAAGCACAGATACAGATACAGTCTTGCCGTGACAATTTATTGCAAATGGGCACGGGAAGGTAAGTTGAAGCTAAGCCTTAAGGGCTAGAGCATGTGCCATATCCTTGGATAACTGTTGGGGCAATAAGGCATTTATAAACCGCACTCCGGCTTGCGCAAATACGTGCACTTGCTGGCTTGTACTAGAGCTACGTGATTCTAAGTATATCCGCAGGCTGCACGGCCACGGCTTGACACTAAGCCAGCGACAATATTGGCATTGCTTCTACAGACAGTCAACAATTTTTCGCACTTAACGAGCACGACGCTAAATCGCCAGAAGAGTCCAGCTCATCTTGGCTCACCTGGCTAGGGGCCAGCGAAGTGCAACTTCCTGCAGCCAAATGGTCAAGTGACAAGCAACAGCAGAAGACAGCAAGCAACCCGGGCAGTCCGGGCAGCCTGGTCGGGAAAGGGGCTGTCGAAAGTGCCATGCAAACGAGTCGGAACACAACATAAGAATCACAGTAAACAACCACACAAATGCCTGATGGCAACAACAGCCAAAATGGCCACAAGCAGCTGGGCACGTAGCCTTCAGGGTACTCACCCTGCTTGTACGTGGAGAAGGCGAGGTATTCGAGGACATCGGCACGCGTAAAGCTTTGCGTCTGATTGTGTGGCTCCTCCAGCATACGGGACATGGCCTCGTTCATCCAGAGCACCGTATGATAGTAGTCCCGGTTCACGTACGACTGTCGACCCAGCTCGAAGCAGTCATCCGAGGACATTGCCGTGCTGCGTAGAAGTATTTGCTTAGTTAATATCCAGCCTAGTAGCTGCTGTGCTATTTCCATGCACTTACCTGTACTGTATGCCGTTCAGCTTGCCCCGTGCCACACTGGACGTGTCCAGCTGATAGGTGTCTTGCAGTCGGAGCAGCGCCACCGCCGCGCCATTGAGGTCCTCATCCGAGGGAAACTTCAACACGTTGCGATATTGCGTGAGGTTCTGCACAAAATCTTTGGATTGCACAGAATGTCAACAGTTCAAATGTGACTATAAAGTTGAGTTCATCTCAATTTGAGAGCAGAAGTAATCTTACCTGTGCCCACATCGTGCCCCATGAGATTCTCCACCTGCCGCCAGTCAGTGGTCAGTCGTTTGGTCAGCAAATACGCATTGATGGGATTCGATACGTAGGCGGTTATATCGCTAGCAGCATCCGCATGCTCTCTTTGGTATTCATCCATTTTGCTAAAGTTAAGAGTTAAAAGTTAAAAGTTGCGTAAGCAATTTACTGAATAATTTGATTACATTCACGTAAACTAATAACTAAATTACGAGTGCATCTGAGGTTCGCACGAAGCCGCTTGCACGAAAGTTTAGGAAAGCTTAAGTTCAGCTCAAGAGGAAATAAACAAACACTTTGCCTAGCCGCATAAATTCCGATGAATCCATTAGGGAGTGTTCAGTTTAGCGAAATATTCTTTTTTTTTTATAATTAATCAACTTAAAGCTTATAAATAAATTACAGCTGCTAATGCTTAAAATGGATAACTAATCGTACTTAAGCTTTAGAACTAACTAGTTCTACGAACATTGCATATATACAAAATAGAATGCCAGAAGTATTATGCGGCTTTGTTTGGTCCCACTTTTTTGTCTTCCAATGTTAGACATCAATTCCCATTTTCCGCACGTCGAGTATCTAAGGTTATATCTTATATAGATATTTTGCATAAAAACCAACAACAAGAATCAACTTTTCCAACCATTTAATCTATAAAGCTTGAAGCAGAAAAACTTTTTTGTTTGCACTACCTTCCACTCGAATTTTCCAGCCAGGAGTATGAAACACGTATGAAAATATCGTTGAAAACAAGTTTAAAGTAAACAAAACAGTTTCATACAGCCTTTTTCTACAATTTTTCCACACATGCGCCTGGAAATTTCCAAAGTTCTTACTGTCTTGGCTGTCCGTTGATAACCAGTCAATTAGTCAGTTATTCAGCCAGTCATTCAATCAGTCAAAAGAAGTTAACACGAAGTACAAAATAATTAATAACTTATTTATAGAAAACGCGAACTTCCAATTGGAAAATTAGTCGGAATAGCATTCCAGAAATGCAAATCTTCAGTTATCTATTGTTATGTACAGAAGATTGTTTTCCTTCAATTTTCTTAATGTTTAAAATATTAAAAAAGAAATTTATATAAAATATAGAGCTTAGAAATATAGCTCCAATTGGAAGCTTATTGGCATTGTTCTGCAAATTAAATTTTCGGAGAATACACATGTGAAGTATAAATTTATAGTGAGCGAACAGAGATATAGAGAGAGGAAAGAAAGAGAGAGATAGTAAGAACCATTACAAGATATAGAAAGAAATAGAGAAGCGAGTGAGACAATATGCTTACACATTATGGGATGTATTTAAGATAGAGAGAGAATTAGCTAACATTCGATTTTAAATACTCTTTCGTTGTAAAATATAATCCTTGAAAATATAATCCACCCTTATAAAAGAAGAGAACCTCCGATAAGAAATACTTAATTATACACTTTTAAGTTTCGAAATCATTTAAAGAAATATGTCTTTTAGTTTGTGCTTTTGGTGTTCACTTTATTTGATGCAATGTGCAATGCTTAGACTAAATAATTTAAAACATAATTTAATTTTTCTCACAACAATTGTAGATGTCTTAGATATAATTACAACCCATATTTGCATAGGTTAGCCTTATGATTCGATATATACAGTCTTGAAAACAAAACTCGCTGCTGGAATTTCGTGCGCGTCTTTAATTATAAATATTTTTTTTTGGTCGCCTAGCCGTTACGGATGCCGCTCGCTAAAAAGAAAACTGAAACTAAAACTAAAACAAACTATGAGCTAGATTAAGGCTAAAGAAGAGAAGCGCCTAGACCACATTGACGCGGTTATCGGGCGGCGGGCGATAGCACCAGAGGCTGCCAATGACGCCCAGGCCAATAAAGAACATGGTAAAGGTGGACAGGCCGAGTATGACGCCCGTGGTGACATCGTGCAGGGGCAGTCCAGGAAACGGGTCCAGCACCAGAATTAGCAGCAGGCCGCAGCACTTGAACAGGCAAAAGATGGTGACCAAGATGTAGCCGGAGGTGTAGCTACGGTTTGGCAGCCATTCGCAGTGGCGCGAACGAAAGCCAAGAAAACCCAGACCCATGCCGCAAAAGGAGGCAACCAGCCCGAACTGCAGGTAGAAGGACTTGCCAAACTAAGGCAGTTGAGAGTAAGTAAATGGCCACACATTAGTCGAGGATGAGAAATTGGCAGAAGAGAGTGTACTCACGTGGGCTATCATATAGATGATGAGGCCGGCATTCATGGTGCTGCCCAGGACAAGCATCAGGGACACAACGGCCAGCGTAATGGTGGCATTGGCCAGCTTCTGTGGATAGGAGTTGTTGTTCACATTCGACTTGCCCTGCAGGCTGCTCAGATCCTGCTCCTGGCCCTGCACACGCGGACTAATCACCGCCATGGTGCGGTCACTGGGCAGTTGCTGTGCTGCCGGCGCCGAAGTCGGCGTCGACTTCACCGTCTCATAGTGCAGTCGCTGCGGCGAGAGTCGCTGCTGACGCAGCGGCAGCGCTGGAGAGGGCACCACTGAGATGGTGGCCTGTTGGTGTAGGTTAATGTGCTGCTGACTCTGGTAGAGCTGCAGGCGACGCTCGCGCTGCAGCTGCTCGTGGTGGGCCGCATTGCGGGGCGTGGAATGTGCCAGACGCGGTGGTGGTTGCATTTTGCGGGGTGTGGTGAGCAGTTCGTGCAACGCTCGCGTTGCAGCTGCCGCATTGCGCTGCTGCGGGGTCGATGTGCGCATGCTGAACTGTTGGCTGAGCTCCGTGTGGCTCAGGCAGGTCTCCTGCTGTGCTGTGTGGGCAGAGTCGTCCGCCAGATCGTCGTCATCCGCTTCTGTGGGTATGACCGCATAGCGATGCGCGCGTCCATTGTGCATCTGTATGATCTCCTGGTTTTCGTCAACGAGCTCCTCATCTTCCGCCGTGGGCACCATCTGATAGCGCTGATTGCTGTTCTTGTCCACAATCAGAAATGTTTTGCTGCCAAAGTCGCTGGAGAATGCGTGCTTGATCTTCGGCGCCGGCTTGGGCGGCAACGCGTTCAATGTGGGCGGCAAGCTGGCAAACTGCGTCTCCTGCTGCTGATGAGGCTCCTCGTGAAACGAGTGCGGCTCCTCGTCTGACTGCAGGCCTTGCCTCGAGCCATAGCGATCCAGATTATCCTGCGAGCGGGCCAAACGCTGTGCTGCCTGTCCCGGCACAATGGCATAGCGACTGGCCACGGCGCCCAGCTCCTCCAGCGGCACCAATGCATAGCGGCCACTGGATGACTGTTGCTGCTGCTGCTGCTGCTGTTGCTGCTGCTGCTGGTACTGTTTACGCGTCACCGAACGCGTCGACATGCTACGCTGCATGCGCAGCGGTCCCTCGCGCGGGTCGCGACAGGGTGCAGCCGGCACCTGACCGGGACGGGAGACCGCATTAAAGTTGAGCTGCAGGCTGCGATTGTATATGGACTCAACCCTATTGCTCGACGGCACCGGATAGAACTCGCTGTTCTGGCAGAAAGCCGGATTCGTATAGTTGTGCTTGGACATGGCCGCACTGTACTTGAATATATGTAGATGTGTCTAAGGGTTTTCACTGTCACTGCACACGTTCACGATCACTGGTAACTACTGTGGGCTAGCTGACTGGCTGACTGATCCGCACGGCACGACAACTGCGTCTCGACTGAACTGCGACGCGGGCTGCCAGTCGCTCCTCGGCTTGCAATTTCCTGCGCCGGCGCGCAGTCGAGTGGATCGGCAGCGACGCGTGCGTTACTTTGACCCCCCCTTTAGAAAAAATATAACCATTTACTTGGCTTATATACAAGCATACATAATAATTGAGCTCAAGACAACTGTAGAACAACAACAACAATAACAACAATAACAAAAACAACAAGAGCTGGCGGCAGGCGTCGTTTGGCGCGTTCCCTTGTGCTGGAAACATCTGCTCCTGTTCCTGCTGCTGCTGCTGCTGCTGCGACTGCCACATGAGGGTTGAAACGAATTTCGGTCATGCCGCAGCCGGCGTTGCAAGGTTTTATCAGTATTTTGAATTTATATTTACTCAATTCATAACAGCGAAATAGGCGACGGCAAAAAACTCACACTATCGTGCATATATTTCATGTTCTATATACTCTATGGAAACGCCCCTGGCTCAGGCGACCGTTACAGCATATGCTGTGCGCTTATCGAGTGTCAATAGTGTGTATATGTACCCCACCTCTCCCACCACGCCAACTGTCCCAACTGTGTGCCTGTGGCCAGCCTATGTTGGCCAACTTAATTGGATTTCGCCCCAGCGGCGACGGTACCCACAAAACTACAAATCAAATCCAACTTTGATGCCGCAAAGGGAACTGACAACCGGCAGCAGCTGCCCCTCGCTCTCCCCCCAACCGACCCACAGTTAGTTATTGTAAAATTTATGCATTGACATAAAAGGATGCGCCGTCAAAGGATCTCACATATGTTCATTACCAACACTAAAGCACAGCCAGGAGCTGTATCCTTGCTGGCAGCACATATCTGGAAAATGCTGGCGAATTCTACTGCTCGCCAATGGAAAAATTTTAACTCGACATTAAATTTAAAATTTGAGTCGAGACAAAGGGCAGCAGGCTCATGGCACGCGCCACATGCGGCAGAGCCACATGAAAGCAGATGAAGAGAGAAGAGCTGCAAGGATGCGACTGCGTTGCAATGACAGCGCAGATCCTCAACAACAGCTGACAGCTGTTTTGTCAGTCCCCGTCCGCTTATTGTGCCAAAGCGGACGCCGGCGAGAGGAAGGGAGGGCGCCATCAAGTAAATAAGATAGATCCTGTGCTTGGGCTCCTGGTGCTGGCTTGGTTTGTTGGCTGTTGGCATATTTGATTAGGGGAGTTGCCTTACCGCATCCGCTGCTTCTTTTATCCTGCATCTACGTCCTTCCGCTGCAAGCAGGGGCAACAACCATTTACCGCACAAACATGCTCCAGTATATAGAAGTATATACATGTATTTGTACATGCCAGGGGTAGCTTAAGATATGCAGAGTAAATAACGCTCGGTGTGTGTTTGGCGCCGCATAGACACAAACGACAATGCATGCATTTACACGTTTATGCTGCTGCCCGTTTCTGCAGATGCAACAGCTGCCACACGCACGTGGCAAAAATACTGGCGACAGCCACTGTAATTATGAGCATGCTAGCGCGAGTCTCGCCTCAGTCTCACCTGCCGGCTAGCGCTACCTAGCCCAATCTAAAAGCTCATTTGCATAGGAGATTATATGAAAAAAACTAAAATACATTCAGTCGAGACTAACAAACTAAAATACACCCTGTATTCAGCTCGAAGATGGGCATATACTTAACTGACAGCACACAAAGAAGTTCACATATTCCCGCATACCACAGCGCATGTGCTTCTTCTTGCCTCAACACTACAACATGGAAGTTTAATATTTTTAAGATTTTCCAAGGTTGAATATGCCCATGAAATGGGTGCATATACGAACAATCAGATTTATACATCAAAAATAAATTATATATCCCTTTAATATAACGCATAGATAAAATTGAAAAGCCAAAATACCAACTGTTCTAAATCTTGTTAAATCTTATCTCTCAGTGTTAAAGTTGACTTTAATTAGGTTCGTCTTTCTGTTGTAGATAGTACATGTATCGTAAATAGACCGAACCCTTATACCATTTTGCTAACATACGAATGATCGATCGAAAATAAAGTTCTTGAATGAAAAACGTCAACATTTCTCGAGATATCTTGACATTTGCGGGATTAAACATGCTTCTTACAAATAAGTATAATCTTAACAACATCGGATATCAATATAATATAGTTTTTTTTTTAACTGTGGGAAAGTTATATATGGATGAGAATACTTCATGTGTTGACCTTTCTCCCAGTTATTCAGCTCCTAACATAAATCATCCACGGGATACTTTCGAATTAGCAATCGATATACAATATACAATCTATTTTTCTATAGTTCCAACTAACAGCTAGCGAATCTGCAGTCGAGGTCAAGAACATATATTTATGGCCTTAGATATACCTGCTAGAGTTACACAAAATCATTATACCCGTCTTCGCCCGTTTGCAAGGGGTATTTGATATTCTGCACTCTAAGAAAGTATCTTAAGTGCATGCAAATGGTACGCAAAGCTACTCGTTGCATACTTGATTTAACGAAGCACATTTCGCAAGCGAGCTTCCTGCAGATACATTTGTATTTGTACTCACTTCTTCAGATAGCTTAGCCTGTCCTCCTGCACGCGAATGTAGCCTTCTAAATTGCTTATCAATACAGATTCAGTCTCAAGTAGCTCCTCCATTTCCGCCAGAGCCGTGTACAGCTCCCCGCGCACCGCCACCCCAGTCAGGGCGAGCACAAGGACGCCGAGCGCCAACTGCAGACGCAGACAGGACGACATCGTGTAGCCTGCAAGGATATAGACAAGTATAAATAATTAAAGCATTACGATTGCATTCAGTGTGTGTGCATCCAATAAATTTATGTTGGCTTTCTAATTTGCATAATAACTGTTTCTATTAGCCTAACGGCGAGCCCTGCTGTCGCTGACCATTGACCGTGTGTGAAGGTTATTGGTCCACTAATTTGGCATTGGCCATCGCAGCCCAGTGGGAAGCGTGTGTATTAGGTGAAATTCATTGAGCCCGAAAACAGCTTTCGCAATAATTAATATCCTGCTCCCCAGATGACACGGTTGGCTACTTAACTTTAAGATTTAAAGCTCGCTCGGGAACTGGAAACGGCACTCGGAACGTAAGTATTTCGAAAGTCGGCCTTGCAATTTGTTTTAATGAGTTTTATTTTTTAATTTGGCCGGCCGTACAGCTTTGTTGTTTTATGACATTCGTCGGTTTATTGCTTTAAGTCGTAATACGCGGCAAAATAAAGTCAATAACAGCAGGAGAATAGCAAAGAAGTGACTAATAGATACCCTGTATATATGAATGAAATGAGTTTTAAGATAGAATCTTATAGATTTTTTATTTTAAAATAGTTTAAGCAACTAACAGATACAGTGTATAAGTGACTAAAGTGGAAAAAATAAAAACTATCGCATTATATAGTAAGTTTAATAATTTAAGACTAATTGAACCCAATAAAAGATATGAATCAATTTGCAGATACTGCGAGCCCATTTCTAATATAAAATGGTGTTACTAATTTAGAAATCTTTAAGACACCCTGTATGTGGCATCAAATTGGTAAATACCATTGAACTATATACATATATATATTCTGAATCCATTTCGATTATTTTATTGTATTAAGTACAATTTAAACGAATTTTGAATACCCTTTAAGTAAGCAAACTTTTGTTTATATAAATTTTATCTGTTAACTTATTGAGAAGCCTCTGGCATTATTTGCAACAAAGAATGACTCGAGCGACTATGAAACACCCTGTATCAATCAGAAGAGCCAAATAGAGAGTATGCCAGTTTGCCGGATCTATGATTAATACATGCATTCAGTATTTATTATCAAAATTAATGGAACAAGTGGCAGATCCGATTGTATCAATGAATAAATTGAAATATAATTAGTAGATACATTTATAGGTGTGACTTTTGTGGCATGTTGTTTTCGGATCTGCACAACAAGATCCCGTTCCGAATTAACGGTAATTAGTGGACGCGACGCAAACAGCTTGTTGTTTCGGTTTATGTGGAGATAAATTAACTATTGCGATTAATTAGCAGCACGCTGTTTATTTGTGTATTTAAGATAAATGCGTTTTAAAACATGTTTAATGGATGACCGAAACGATTTAATTTGCATTTAAAGCGTGAATAGATTGATTTTCACTCTGTTTCGGGCTTAATCGGCAGGACTTGCCGCTTGCCTGCTTGCTGGCAAGGACACACGCATCGTAAATGCTGTTTAATTAGTCAGCATTAATTATTTTGTCTTTTGGTCTGCCGCACATCAAGCACACCTGGGAGCCAGCCACCGCACCAAACGGACCGCACACATCTCAGTATGACACAATATCGCACTTGCACTCGGACGGTAATTGCGCACATTAATCAAACGGCAAGTTCGCTCGAGTTGACAAATTCAAGACGAAGATGCGTCCATGTCCAACGTGCTGCTTAACCGGCTGTCGGCCCGTGTTTGCTCGCCGAGCGAAATAAAACACGGCAGTGCATTCGCTAACGAATAATGACAACATTCGTCTTAATGGCTGCCCCGCCCGATCTTCAGATAATATACTAAACAAATGGCAACCGAGTGTGTTGTGCTACTTGAACGAGCTGCTCGAACAGACACAAATTCATTCCAACAACGATTTCAACTCTGAATAACAAGTTGTAGCGGGTATGCACCTTTACAATTTTAATGAATTTTAATTTGGTTTTAATACGTTTTTTTTCATTTGCCTAACGGTTTCTGACTGAAATTAAAACTTCAAACTGAGCCGATTCTTATACGAAAAATACGAATGCCAATTCAGATATTTATTTAATGATATATAAAATAACAGTGAATTGTCAACAGTATTTCAGTAACATGTTCATTTGAATTCTGTTAAAAAGAAAGCATCAAAACTGAGACGAATTTTATGCGAAAGACAATTTCGATGAAGGTTTATTCCCAGTTCTCAAAATGAATATTTAGAATAAACTAATATTTTCTTTGAAATTGAAAATCTAATAATTATAGCCTGAACCCATTGAAATTGGGTAAAAAGGGTGTAATGTTTTTGTGCACATGTACACAAACGTAACAGGCAAAAGGAAGCAGTATATATATATTCTTGATCTACATGAATAGACGGCTCGATCTAGCCTGGCACGTCTGTCCTTATGAACGTAAGTCTTCCTAGTGCCCGCGCAGTATGATTTTGTTTCCGATAATCGTTAACTAACAATCGATAAAAATCTTTATCGATCCTGTTCTTTGAGAAAATGTCGTATGTTATAAGAGCTAGAGTTAACAAATTTGATTTTTGAGCTGAGCTGAGCTGACCATCTCTTTATTTTATAAAATCAACTTTGAATTAGATGCACTTTATTATCTTTTCTATTGAGTAATCGCAACTAAAAGAGAATTTGCAAATACTTCTTCCAAAACCTGTCAACCTATATAAAAACAAAATGTATATATTATAGCCAACACTAAATCACAATAGTTTTAGAACTTTTATCTTTTGCGTGTTATTTGCTTTGCAATACTTGAAAACATTTCTAAAAAATGCTTGGCTTCAAAAATTTAAATACTAGTATACTTAAAAGCCAACACTTTGCATTGTTCCCAATTCGTTTTTGCTAAACATATAAGTCCGATGAATTTATAACAGCTCTGATTTCTCTAGAAGCCACAACTTGTCAGAAAAATAAATAAAATGATTCCCAATTCAACGAAAAAAATGTTCTGCTTTGATCGTCAAACCGGTTTAGCCCAAAAGTTCGAGTTCTCAGTCGATTTCTTAGACTCCGCATAGAAATGGGCGCCAAAGGAAAGGCAACTGAGCTCAGAAATGGACTAATGGATGCTGCAACGGTCTATGTAGATGAGACTGACAACATCGAATCTGATGAGTTTTTTTTTCGTTTGTGATGGGCCTCGATTGCAACGTGACTATAAATTGGAGTTCAAGGAACTTTTGCTACAAAGAATTTAGTTAGGCTCTGACGCAGCCGCATTCATATGCAAATGTATCTGACGGATACGCGTGGCTGATGCTGTGCGGCCGTCCACCGAACGAACAAGCGTCGCATTGTTTTTTCCTGGCAAACATTTAAATCATTAACGGTACGCGCCAAGTGGCCAATACGTTACACAATCCAACTTATTGAAATGCAAATAATCTTTTATGGGTGGCCGTGCCCCAACTGCGTGTTTGCAGTTGCTGCAGAAATTTAATAAAAAAAGCGTTCGGAATGTTTTCTTTTAATGGGTTCACTGAACCTTTTGTTGATTATTTCTTACTTTAGTACTTTGGTATTGGCTTTGTTACAGTTTTGCACATTCGCCACATTTTCCACAGCACAAACAGGTAAAAAAGCAGCAGCGGTAACTTTTTGGCCAACAATTTGATAGGTGAAAAGTTTTGCACTGAAATATGAATGTGGGGCATGCTGAATTTATGACTAAAACAGCAAGAATTTAACCAATTCTATTTTCGCAAATTTTAGTTACCTTTGACCCTGCCGCTGAAATGCGGAAGCCAAAATAGAGAAAAAATATAAAACTTATTTTTAGTTTATGCATTTTGCGCAAAAGTTTTGTGCGCCCGACTGGCTGGCAAAAGAGTTCTTCGCTTTTTTTCTTTTTAATAAGGTTTCGCAAAAATTGCAAATTCTTTTTAAAACAAAATACAATAAAATTGATCTAAATAAATCAAATTGTATGAATTGTACCAGAGCTGCATAAATTGTAGATTAAAAACAAATAAATTGCACAATCCAGACTTAACTGAAATGTCACGCTCAACATTACCATATGGTTTGTTGGTTTCAACAAAAAAACAAAAATGTGAAAGTAAGGATATCTACAGCACGCCGAAGATTTGATGCCCTTATAGACATTTCCCCTTTAAAGAGATGTGAGAATAGCTAAACTTGTAAATGCTGTGCTTGATGAAAATATCTTGGAAAACAGAATCTTTTGCTAAATTGAAAACTACTTTTTAACCGATTGTTCCTATGATATACGATATCGATGTTTATAAGATATTGCATAAGTGTAGAAAGCATAATGAAACTAGTAATTGCCAAGTTTGTTTAAGATATCTTGATGTCAAAAAGTGTTTTCCATATAAGAGCCTACTTTTCGACTGATCTTTCCTATATATCATCATCATTGAAGGAGCACCGTGAAAGTAGAAAGTGCTCATCTTGGTCAATATAAAATCCAGACTAAATAAAGTATTCCATATAAGAACCTACTTTTCTATCTTTTCCGTGTCAGCTATATGATATAGTGATCCGATCCGGCCAGGCCCGACATTTGTACTGCCTGCAACACTAAGGCAGACCCATTCAAAGTTTTGAGGCGATATTTTTAAAACTGTTACAGTAATTCGCATAGAAACTTAACAGTTGATCCTGATCTAAAATATATACACTTGACTTCTATTGGTTATGTTATTCCATGAGAAAATTCAGATACCTTTAACACGGGTATAAAAATGCCACAATGTGTTCATATATATAACAATGCACAGTCGTTGAAAGTTGAATTTGTTGAAGATTAAAATGCAAATGAATGAAAAAGAATAATTATAAAATACTTAACACTTAAATTATGTTAATATGGAAGCCAAAAAAATAATAATGACAATATACAGTCAATATATGGATATAAGACAGCAGCTTATGTTGATCATAATTTTGGATTATGTATTTGCATTTCATTGATAAATATATTATAACGAGAGAGATATGAAATAAATTTATTTATAC